CATCCGACATGTTATGTACGAATCGATGTCGTGCGCTTCAATTCTCCTTGCCGGTTTTCGCTATATTCGTCGGTAGTCGTTGGATCTGTCGGGGAAAACCTCAAATAAGGTAAGCACCCCGACTTTGGCGGCGGCCTGAGACACTTTTTGTATTTTGAAAAGTTTTTAAAAGTGCGTACTTTATTCGGACATTTACGGTAATAAAGGTTTAATATTGTTTACCACGATGTAAGACCTCCCAAACTCAGCCGGTAGCCACGTAGCAGAACACATTAGACTATGAGAAGTTTACAAACAAGTTTAGGGGAGAGAGCAGCCGCACCGATAATACGGCAGCGGCGGTAAAAGGAGAGGTTTCTCTCATGAAATGTAACTCTATGGATATTATATCCTACATATCATTCTCTTGTGTCTATAGACTCGATTTGTCAGACTATTTATAGATAATGTAACGAGATCTTACCTTTTCATGTCTCCATTCTTCAACTTCGGAAATTCGAACCACCCGAAATGAGAGCACGTTCGATCGATAAGTCAGGCGTTCGACGCCAAAAAAACTTCAACAACATTACCGAAATAACTGGTTCAAACATGCACAAGACGGGAGACTTTCCCATCCATCTTTATTTTGCAGTTTCTTGTTATCTTTAAGAAGTCTTTTCACATAATATCTAGTTTCCAGAACCATTTTTTCGATTTAAAACAATCAGAGAATAGAAGACGGTCGCTGTCGCCAGCCACGCGACCCAAACGTGGTGCCCATGCCGTGCGTCCTCTCTCCCCGTTGTTGTTACGCAGATCTCCGCTTGACTAGACCTGAACAGAATACTACATGCATATTAATCTTTGGTTGTCCTAGTTTCGAAGTATCATTGAAGTAGCCCTAACATTCTACCTTTCCACGTAAAAAATAAAGGAAACACAAAGTGGCGAACTCGGGGTACAGTGGCGAACTCGGGGCCCCCTCCGTTAAGCCTTTAGGCTTATGTGTGGGGATTCGCCTCAGGCATATAGCCTTTGTACATCATATTTCTAATGAAATCAGACAAACCGTTAATCATAAAACATATTTGTTCTTACATTTCCACCATGACAAATAAAGAGAGAAGAAGCCAAATTCACTTACTAGACTGACATGTGGCTCTATCTACATGAAGAGGTGCAAAAATGTTTGTCTTGGAACTTGCTTCATTTCTTAAGGGACATTTGAAATTATAATATCCAGGTAGTAAATGGTGGTACCATAACCTCCTGAGAGCACCTCATGTGGGCTGTTTTAGCACCAACCATAGAGATCAGAAATATAATATATTGCACTAATATGAAAAGTGGAAGTAAATTACAATCACTCAAAGATTTACTCAATTAAAAAAATTCGTTTTTTGTTGCAAAAATTTTACATAATTCCCCTTAAAGAGTCTTGCTGTGTTTCCCATTAAGTATTCAACACAGCCCATACATAATCCTACAATGTTTAACCATGAGCCCCAGCCATCCCTGAAGCTTCCCCAGCATACCAAATAAAGTTACATGAGCTCTGAATCAACTCAGTGTCAATTCTCCCCATGTACAGCATGCTGTGACATTAACCTTCTCGAAGCCCATCTAATGCACAATCTTCCCAGGGGCCATTTTGTGGCAATGAACTGAATAACCCAAGGTCAGGGTCAGTGTGCACTGTGTGTTCCTATTAGTGTTACATCTCTACCGAGCCCAGTTTTCCAACCATCGCCCGTCTTTCCATTATTTGATGGAATTTTGCCCAATCTTTGACGAGCAAAAATTGGCATGTAACCATATGAAAGTAAATGAATTAAATTTAGTCTACCAGCAAAATTTTCCCTTCAAAATGCAGGAAATAAAGTTTCAGAGGGTCAAAATTTTCCACATCAATCTAATCCATTGGTTCTATAGGATTTGAAGAACAGCTGCTGCAGTAAAATAGTCTGATGGTCTGTACCTTGGTAAACACAGTTTCGAAAGGGGCATATAGTCAGGTTTCCTTCAGGTTATTTTCATGGCAACTTTTCTCACACTCACATCAATTTTGGGGTGCCCAGAGGACATCATTAGATAGAATCAAGTCAATATGGCCTTAGATAGAACGTCTTGTGGGTTTATGGTGAGTTTGATGATGTGTCCTGCGTGGAGTAACCTTCGCCCTTTTCCAGTCTCCGTGCCATCATTGTGGCTGAACTTCCGTTCGAGAGATTGGCACGAGAGTCTCTCAATGGGCAGCAGAACTCACAGCTAGAATATTAATCGCTGAGAAGTTGTGGAAGAATCAATCAAGCAGTCCCCACAGGGAGAAATCAGAGGTATTCTTTTTATTCCAGCGATCAACTGGTCGGTTTGTGGCGTCCCGAGAGTCTGTCCATCACAGTTATAAATGAGTCAGTCTGCCTCGAGCCAAAAAACTTGGCTGAACCTCCATCATATCAACTTTGTTTCAGTTTGGAAACTTTCCCATAAAATCAGTCGAGCAAATCTGATCTACAGCAATTTCACAGAAGGGTTCCACTTGGCTTATGTTTTGGCCTAGTTACATACATATGTCTCCAGTAAAATACCATTTAGCAGAGGCAATGTTTGGTAGCCAAGAATTCATCTTTCAAGCAAGAAGATTCCATAGATGGTTCTCACACCATACCCAGATAGTGTGCAGTACAAGGAATGTGTTTTCAATGGGTCACAATGTGACTACTTCATTTTGAATTGAAGGATAGAGTTAGAGACACTGTTTACAGAAAATTTTGTATGATGTTGGGGAAAATGTTTGTAAGCTTTTTTGGTTCAGTGGATGTCAGCTGTCTTAACGCTTCAGTATTCAGCACCAAGGACATGTATAGAAGGAAACAAATAAAATCATTGTTAGAGATATACAGAAAACATTACACAGTATGTGGGAAAATGTTTTGTGCTTAGTTGATAATTAAATGTCAGCTATCATTACAACTTTGGTGTTCAGCACCAAGGACAGGCCCTGCCAACTTTAGATGAAAGGAAAATCAATTTCTGACCAAGAAGAAAGCCCATTCAAAATGCCTAAAAATATATCAAACAGAATCCAAAGTCTATACCTCTGCTTGGAGAGTAGATTATAACTGTAGTTTCTTTAAAATTCTTTATCTATTCTTCCCTCAACTTTCTTGTTCAATTTTCCTCACCCTTGTAAATTTGCTATGATCTTTCTGTCCACGTTTTCTTCTGATCCGGTCCTTATCTGCTTTCACCAGATACAAGCTTTCCACAGCTTACACGAGCATCAGCATCACAGAGCACGCTAAAGCTCTTTAGGCTAATGGCAGGGCTTCCAAAGTGACTGATTTACATCTTATCAGAGGTGACCCAAGTCAGTACAAATGAGACAAGCAGAGGGGAAGTCCAGAAGGGGTCTTCGTGAGGGAGTTGCAGGAATTGGAATAAATGAATAAAACGGACAAATCTTGTCAGGGCACAAAATCCTAATTTTTGCATATTTGCACTGGTGTAACATTGAAAATTACCTGCACCAGACAAATTTTTCAGAAATACATGCACAAATCCAATTTTACCTACACTAACCCGCATATGCAGGTGGTGTTTCAAGCCTAGTTTGTACATTTGGTTTGAATAAACTTTGAAAGACAAAAATTGCTTGAATTACTCAGTGTTGACCTTGGAAATGACATCTGTAAATTCTCTAGTTTAGTTTCTTTACTCTATTTCATCCAATAAACAAACAAATGACTATTTGGGTCATTTTGACTTAGAAGACGGTCCATGGCAAACAAATAGATATTGCCTAAAGCAAGTTTCCCTTATATATCATAACGACCAAGTCGATATGTGGCAGACATCCTGTCACAGATAATGGGGATCTCTGCATGATACAGGATTATATTGATTCCATGTACGTGTGTGGTTATCAGTACACAGTACTGTATCTCATCTCCTAGATCAATACTCATGTAAGTGCTATAACTTCTTTTGATATGTCAAGAAAGAATCAAGCTTGTGATATCAAGATTTTTCCCTTTTTTGTATAAATTTGATGTATACACATGTGTTTGAGGAACTGACAGAAAAAGAGCTGGGCTATTTTTGTAAAATACTTTAATCTGTCTTGAATTCAAATAACTCAGTCTAGAAAATATCTTGAATAGGAAATCGCAGCTGCTCGTAATCCGATGCAAACTTCTGTAAAAAAACTAAAACATCTGTACCAACTGAAGACAGCTGTCAATTATCGCTTTCAAATTTTTAGTGCACAGTGACTTTCAACAAAAAACTGACATACTAAACCACACATCAAGCTGTGGTCATTTACGATCCCGTGCTTTGCGGCTTCTAGGGTCGTAAAAAATGGCCATAACTGACACTGCTGATGGATGCTTACCCATCGCTGGCTAGGCCTTATGGCTGCTATCATTAGAGTAAGGCTCACATGGGCCTTAAAAATGGCCATATCATAGAGAAGAGGGAGCAGCACATTACTAATGGCTGTGCTGGAAGAAGCCTTTTCTAAAGACCCTCAGAGGTAGACACATGTGCGGCTGCATGAGTGGGTTTAATGAGTGGGTACGTGCGTTGGCTGAGTGGCTTGGCGAGCTTGAGCGGACACGAGATTGAGAGGTCATGGGTTTGATTCTTTGCATTCCTGGCTAGACGTTGTTAGCTTGCAAGTTGTCTATACACTCTTTCTACATATTGTTTCAAGTTCCAACTAGCCATCGGGCATGTACTTACAAATAATGACTATGATTGAATGAAGAGACTCTTTTTACACAACAAGGAGGTTTCCGCCGATGTTTCGGTGACCGTCTGTCACCTTCCTCAGGGCAATTCTGGCTGGTTCACATTGCACAGACAGTCACCAAAAGGTCAACTGAATAAACGTCTTGGTGGTAAAAAAAGGTACTCTTTATTCAGTGACTTACCAACCCAATGAAACTATTCACAAATGATAATTATTATATGAGCAGGCCTGAAGTTTATTATGCTGTTGTATGTGACCTCAGGTCAGCTGACAGGACAGGGGAAGACCTGGACATCATCTACTCCCGCCTGAAGGACGTGAAGGCCTTCGAGCGTTTCCACCCGCTGCTGCTGCAACAGATCTGCTACTATGGCTACTATGAGGACCTGGAGAAGGGCGTCACATGTACGTTACCTTACCTTCTCACTCACTCATTCACGAACGAACAAAGAAAGGAACAAATGAACAAACGGACGCACTCCTCAGTGCTCAATCTCACTCGCTCACTCACTCACTCACTCACTCACTCACTCAGTCTGGTGAGCTCAGTCAGAATCTTCCCACGATTAGCTGTCTCCATAACTCTCCATGCTCTGTCTCTGTCATTGCTGCAGGCAATAGATTTAGATTCATTCCACTGTCTGCTTCCATGTGTTTAATGTACATGTACAAGGACCTGAAAAGGGCATCACGCATACGTTAGCTTACCTTCGCAGTTTTTATTTGTCCTGTGTCTAGTTATTTAAGGCAGCCATCTGTCCATGTGATGTAGTGTCAAGGTCAATTTGTTGTTTTTCAGATTTTTTATGAAAAAATATGAAGTGAGATGGAAAAAAATATGCTGGATAATCAGTTTTGGTGTTTCTGCCCTAAAATGGTATTTGATAGCTTTGATATCTTTAATTTCTTTTAAAATCTTTATCATTTTGTTGAAGATGTTGATTGTTTCCCCCTGTCCCAGTGTTCAGGCAGGGTGACATGGGGACTAACTGGTACGCCGTGCTGACCGGCTCGCTCGACGTACAGGTGTCAGAAACAGGTACGGGCCAGGTAAGGGGTCAAAGGTCAACCATCACAACTGTGCTGTATGATTTTAGAAAAAAACTTTTTAACATGTGAACGACCAGATAAGCTTATTTTAGCTGTTAGATACTGTTTTGTTTACATGTTATCATTGGGAATACATTACATTGACTGTGCTGCTTGAATCTGTAGTACTAACAAAGTCTGACAGAGGGCAGCACTGAAACATGCCATTGATTGTTGTGAATCAAAGAACATTTAGTGTTGGCAATGTAAAAGTATATAAACTGTTCTTGTAATTGAGCAACTATTCTTGAAAAGACATCTTAGGAGAAAAGTAACTTTACTCTTAGATTAGATGTGAGTAAATTAGATTACTAAACGTGAATCTACATGTACCATGTAACATTTCAAGGAAAGAGGACAAAGCACTCTGAGACGATTGATTCCAAACCTTACTTTTGCCTCTCCAGTTCTTACTTTGAGAAAACTCTGATAGGACAATGTTTTCTATTACATGTACAATATTTGTCAATTTTACCAAATACGATACTACTACAGTTGAAGATATACCCTAAGACATAGAAGAAGGTTTTTTGATAGAAAATTGTAAATTCAAAATGTATGTTTGTCTCCTCAGTACTATGCCCTGTCGGACAACATCGTGATCTGCACGCTGGGCGTGGGAACAGCGTTCGGGGAGTCCATCCTGAACGACATCCCGAGGCACGCGACCGTGGTCACTGGCGAGTTCTGCGAACTGCTCAGGATAGAACAGAAAGACTTCAAGACAATATGGGAGGTGAGTATCATGTTTCATTATAAACATAAAATGCATGTCAGGTAGGTAGCTTCATGCAACCTGCATTTTGAAGGCAGTAGCAAAGGTTTCTGCATTTCTTAGGTTTTTACAAGACATTGGCCAGACTAAAGGCCCACTCAGTAATGACACCTGTCAGGTGGCATTGGTACTGCAGCAATGTATACCAAAATTTCACTGAACAGTTAGTTAGGCAGAAAAGCATTTTCTCAGAAAATTGCATCACCAATGCCATTAGGTGTTTGCTTTTGAAGAGGGATAGAACTTACTACAACTTACTACAAGATTGATTTTACTCTCAACAAACCAATTATATGACATCTTCCTTAATTCTTATTAGTTAAGATAACATAAAATTTGAACAGAATTCAAATGAAAATTGCATCTTAAATGTTTGTGAACTGGCTAGTAACAACTACCATGATAGCTACATGTAAGTTTGATGAACCAGGATTTTTCTTTTCAGTATAAACAAAGATTATCGATTTGAATGTTTTGATGGTAGAAGCAGCAAACACCTGTATGAGGTCATGATGCCCTTTAGTCCAATATCTGACCTGTCTGATCACATGCCGCATTGTCATGGTACAGTTGAAAATATTATAGCTTCACTTTTGCAAATTGCCTTTGATTTATAGAGGCATTTTGTTTTAAAGGAAGCAGCACTAAGTTGCATTTTGCGCAAACCTCCAAAGAGGACACTGTCACAGTTGATTCTGGGCTGAAAGCTTGGAAAGATTATATTCACCTGTTATGTCAATCCTGCTACAAATGCTTTATGTTACTTGTGATGAAAATTTATTTCTAAGACTTTGAATCTTTGTTAATTCGTGATAAGCTCAAATTGGCCTACAGGCCACTTTTTATTGAGGTTATGAGGGAAGAGGTAATGTGTGAAACGAATGATGTATGTTGTTGGCGTAAGATAAAAATAGACTGAAGATATCACCATTCTGCATCTTCAACTTCGTGTTTTGGGTTCTGCGATTCCTCCAAAGGAACCGTGCATACAAAACAGTGGCACACGTCACATGCCGTCAACCCGTGTTTCCACAACACGCAGAAGTGTCGCACGGAAAGCAGGATGTGCCGCTTTCATAGACGTTGCCATTGTGCGACTGTTGGGGATTTCAGGTCAATCAATTGTGTTATACAATTGTATCAAACCTGGCTGACGTCTTCATGATTGGTTCTTGGAAGACAGCTTTCTCCCTTGCTCATGGCTTTGACCATCAGTCACTGAGTGTTGAATGAGTGAGTGAGTGAGTGAGTGAGTGTGAGTGAGTGAGTGAGTGAGTGAGTGAGTGAGTGAGTGTGAGTGAGTGAGTAAGTGAGTAAGTGAGTAAGTGAGTGAGTGAGTGAGTGAGTAAATGAATGAGTCAATGAGTAAATGAATAAATGAAGGAATGAATGAATGTTCGTTCTTTCTGCAAAGTGCCTGACTACTGATACTAGCCCAGTTAACAGCAATCACGTACTAAAGGTTATTAATATGCTTCCTATTATTCCTCTATATAGATAGAATTACTTGCACCAGACAAAAACATGGGGAACGTGAGAGAAAAAATATTTTGTAAGGAAGTGAAATGGAAATTTGATACCACAGAGCAGGTGTTGCTCACTTTTCTGCATGCACAATAATATAAGGTTATGTCATGATAAAGTTCAAATGGATAAACAAAGTTAACTATACATGTAGGTTATGTAACATGTTGTTTTTCCATCTGCTTTCTTCTCATTCTAGAAGAAAAATATTTTTCATTCATTTCATGCAAAAATTCAATCTTGGCAAAGTCTTGTCAACAACTTAACTGGCTCACAGCAGAATATATAATCAAAACCATTTTTTTTTCAAAAAGGGAATACAATTTCCATATTTGTACATGAAAATACAGCCAGAAAGGATTGATTATCCATAACATCAATCTAAATCTTTCACTAATCCACCAGTAATCCAAGACTTCCTGATTGCTCTGCATTATCGGGAATCAGATTGTGTGGACTAAAATTCCCGTCTCATCGCAAAACCAATCCATATTAAGCTTTAGTCAATCCAGAAGAGAATTACATGTACCCGATATAGTGAAGTGAGCTCTTTGACATTATTATAAGCCATAAAATTCTACCCTTAAATGTTCCCAAATTTACAGAATGATAAAAAGAAAACTACACTTCTGTCAGAATCCAAAAACCCACACAATATTTATTATCAATATTGTTTGATATATTTCATACTTTCCACATTGTGATATTGATGGCGGACTGTTCCATTCTAATTGTAAGGGAGGTCTCAAGAGGTTCAGTTAAGGAGATTCTAATCCATTTCCAATTTCTTGGGTGCAGACTATATTTGTCATTCCTTGCTACAGTGTCTTAAAGTCACAGTTGAAGCAATCAGTTTCTTTATAATTTCGTTACGAACTGAAGCCTGTCAATTTTGCTGAGTCTTCCCTCATGTTTACAAATGGTTCAATCTTATACGCTTTTATAACATAGACATAGAATCCTCCAATCCACCTGAATACATGGTTATGTATATTATTATCTTCCAAAATAATTATAGCCTTAGATTCTTTCCAAGTTAGCCATGTTGCTTAGCACTGAACACAGTGTTCACATAGATTGCTCATGATCATATCCTGTTGTACTGTTTTGGACAATCATCATGTTCTTGCTAAATTGTGGCCTGAATGCCCTTTTACGTACAGCGTCATAATCAGCTGTTTTAATTCTATGTAATAAGGCTGACTGGTCAAGGTTAAAGTGGAGCATGATCAGTGCATTCTCTCTAAATTGCATAATTCGTACTAATTGGCTCCTGAATTTATGATGCAAAAACAAAAAATATTCTTCAAGAGAAAATCTATATGATACTGATTGACATTTACTGTAATTCTCTGAACATCTTTGAGCAAATTTAATAAAGTGGTGTTGAAATTCATGCATATTTTTGTTTCAAATGTTGGTACAAAGAGTTAGATCCTAGTATGATCTTTCACAAAAAAAACTGCATCAGTCGGTAGCCAAATAGCTCAAAGATCAGAGAAACATCTGCTTAGTGCCACTTCACAGTTATTTTTATGACAACAATCGTCATCAAAAGGCCCACAACTCTCCTACAGGTGGTTGAGAGTTCCTCTCGAATTAGCCACGTCGTCGTGTGGTCCGACATGTGCTCACAGAACAACCAGACACGCGCTCTCAAGCCCGCAGAAACGGCAGCGAAAATTAGAGATGATCACGACGGTAATTGGGCGAAACTCCACCCACCGTGCGAGCACTTGATGGCCTGAAATGGGCAGGATAATTGAATTAGAAGAGGCTGAATAATTTATTGACATCAGTGGACAGGGGAAGAGAGGAAGGCTCTCGACAAAACAGATACGCAGGGCTTTGCAGGATCAGCTCTAATGAGTCCCTGTAGTTGCTTTTAAAGAAAAAACTGGCAGATTTCGGCTCACATGCAACTGGTCTTCTGTCTTAAAGGTACTGAGTGTTTCTATATACATTTTGCTTGTACCAATTTTGCATGTATCTCCATTTGGATTCTTCATTTGTTTCTCTGTTGTCTGTAAGGAGCTAGCTTGGGTTTGCATCATTGCAAAATTTCTATAGGAGTATGTATATTTACCTCCATATATGGAGGTATTGTTGGAGCAGACATTCTTGTTTTACCATTTTTTTACTGTTTCAGGATGGTATTAACTTGTGCAGTGAATGTCCTACACTTGTATATTATTTGCAAGTTAATACTAGTAGCATGTAATGTTATATTGTGTAATCTGCATTTTGTTACTTTGTAGCTTTAAGAGAGGTAGATTGCAGTGGATATAAAAGTGTTGTTTGTGTGTTTTACATAATCAGTAAACCACATCAAGACAATGGCTAATGCTGTTGGTTCTGTACAAGAAGTAAAAAAAAATTGCCATGATGAAAGTGTGTTTCTACCACTGTCGGTGCATTTACAAGTATTGCTACCAGGACAGTTCTTTGATGTACCCAAAATTCAGACAGCAAGCAGTGGACGAGCTTGTTTTTGCTGAAAATCTGTAAAATTATTTCTAAGAAATGTAAAAATTTGCCACTAAACGTTGCCAGCATCCCCCCATCAGGCCATTATATTATTTAAGAACGTAGAGCTTTGATTTACACAAATTACAGCTTGCATTAAAAGATATCGTTAGCTTTCAGAATGACGCAAGATATGTGGTAAAAGTCTGTGTTTGACGTTACAGAAAAGACCAAACTGTTTCTAAAATGTTCAACTTTGATTTACACAAATTACAGCTTGCATTAAAAGATATTGTTAGCTTTCAGAATGGCGCAACTTATATGGTAAAAGTCTGTGTTTGACATTACAGAAAAGACCAAACTGTTTCTAAAATGTTCAACTTTGATTTACACAAATTACAGCTTGCATTAAAAGATATCATTAGCTTTGAGAATGACGCAATACAAATGGTAAAAGTCGTGTTTGACGTTACAGAGAAGACCAGACTGTTTCTAAAATGTTCAGAGGTATAGCCTGCAGCAGACATATCCTTTTGCTGTGCACCATCTGGCCCTACAAATGTAAGTTGCGAATCAAAACAGGCAAAAACACCAGTGTTGCTGTGGAAAAAGGCTTTGAAACACCTGCGATTCAAAGGGTGGACATCTTTCTAGTCTGCTTTTAACCTTTAAATGCATTACTGAGAGGAGACAAAACTAAGTTAGATTCTTCACTGGTGTTACATAGTATTTTATGTCACACCTGGTGTATAATATTCAGTTAATGTTCGATGCAAGTGTTTTGGCCCATGCATGCGATAACAATTCAATATCACACCCAGTGTCTTACGGTTACAAGTATCACACAAGCTTCCAAAAGTTCCTTCTTTAATACTTCACACTCTCCCTTGAAGTTTTATTGTCTGAGTATCCTATTCCAATTAGATTAACACAATTATTGTCTTCTACTGTTTGGCGGAGAGCCACCAAAACCATCAAGGGATTAATCATTACATTTCTGATGCACAGACATACAGTAGTTTGACGCCATTGGCCTATTTACTTTCTGGATCATCTTACTTGCACGTCATGAAAGAGGGCCTGCAAGCCCTTTTTCGTAAGGCGTAATCAGGCCGTTTTAGACTTCGTAATTCGTAGGTAGCCTCCGCAAAAATCAACGTAATTCGTAATTGGACATTAGCCACAAATCGTAAAGTCGTAATCAGCTCTGAGACTTAAGCGTAATTCGCAATCGGCGGCGAAAATTTTGCGTAATTCGTAATCACTACCCCCCCCCCATGCAGGCCCTCCTGTTTTGTACTGAATATGTTGCTATGAATGGATGAATCAATTTATCTAACCAACATCATTGGCAATTTTGCCTCCGTAAGTACGAATTCCAATGGCGTGATATTGAATCTTAATTTTACCTGAGATGAATTTTAGTCAAAGCAAATGTTCACAGTGGATAGGATTCTTAAAGTCCTTTGAGTGGTCACAATGGCTGCTCATTTGTGTATAAGAACCCTCAAAACATATTGATGCAGCGATGTAATAAAATAAATAGATGATTGATAAGTCGAGGTGCTGAATAATCTATGGACAGTCAATATTGGACAAAACATGGCTTTAAACCTGTCCTGCTGACATACGGGTGTGATTCATACATTATAGATGAATTTGACCACATTGTGAGGTGTCTGTACTAGCACTCAGAAATTCCAACAACTGAACAGTGCACACTGAAGAACCAAGAGATAGATTCTTGCTAAGATATGAGGTAGGGTTAAACTCTCTCTTATGTAAATGATGGGGTAAAATGTCAAAATGATGGAGATATAATTACTCGCAAAATGGAATGACCAAGTAGGTCGGCTGCTAAGCTTGTGTAAGTCAGCTAAAGGTTTGTAGATTAGTACATCTTTTGACTTCTGCACAAGAAAATGTCACTTAAAAAGACTTAAACTATGGCATTATGGACTTGTAGCTAAGCCCCACTTTAAAAGGCTGCATTATGACAGGACTTAGCCTATTAGCTTTCTAACAGGCTACTAAAAACACCTGTGTACCTGCCCCAAAAACTGGGACTTTTGTATAAAAATTTTGTAGTTGTCTTTATCCTTGAGCAACCACAATTACAGCAATATTTACAGCATGGTCTGTACATTATGCTGGAAATAAATCTCTTTTCAAGGGCTTATCTGTTTTAGAAACATTCCCTCTATCGTCTAATGGGATTTAGAGTGGTTGGAGTCTGACCAGTTTACACAAGCAACTGATTTATTGTAAGATTAGGACAGGTCTCAGGCAAGTGGACGTGCTGACATCTGAACACTAACATTTAGTCTGAAACTCAAACTTTCTTGTTCAACATGTACTCTCGCTCTCTACAGACGTGTAACTTAAAAGTTACATACCCTAGGATTGTCATGCTTGTGGCTTCGGAACTCGACATGATGTTACACATTAAACAAAAAAAGACAATTTAGAAAGAAGGAAGAAAATTTAGACTGGATAGAACACTGTTGAATGCTATGCTGCCCCTACGGTTATTGACTAGCTGTGAGATGGATGGATGGATGGATGGATGGATGGATGGATGGATGGATGGATGGATGGATGGATGGATGGATGGATGGATGGATGGATGGATGGATGGATGGATGGATGGATGGATGGATGGATGGATGGATGAATGGACCAATTTAAGTACAGAGTTTGCCCTCTTTCTTCTGCAGTTTGGCATTCATTGTTCATTTCAGATTCTGAGTATCTGAGAACCAACAAATTGAATCGGTATGGCCCCAGTTTGACTTTCTCGATTTAGAAATAAAATGCAGGTTACGGAATGTTAGAGTATCCTGTGATGGATGTTGCACAGCAGCCTGGCAGCCATGGCCAATGTCAAAAGTTCTGTAACAGGAAATTCCAGACTCTATCACGGTTCAGGAAGGTCAATGTCAATAAGGATAGGCGCCTACGGTAGCCGAACCTTCTGGCTGATGACTGACACTTGGCATGGTGGTGGCAAACCGTCTCAGTTTCATGAATCTTTTATACAGTAAAGTGCTTCCATATGGCAAGTGGTTTAGTTTTGCAACTTGGTGTTACCGGTAATGTGTTTTTTCAAGTTACGAAGTTTATCTCAGCCATGATATTACATTGATTTTTAAAGAAACAAGACAATGAAAATATGTTTCATTAGAAAAAAATTCCAGCTACCTTTTTGTTACTACTTTCAAGTGTGAAGCAAGTGATTTGCTGTAAAATTGGTGGCCTTCCTCGCATACTTTGACACTTTTGTCATATTCAACTGGTTTTCCCAGCTTTTTACATGGATAATATTAATTGTCATGCCTTACTTATATCAGTCTACAATTTTAATTGTGCATCTTCTTCTTCTTTCCTATTGCTAAGCCCAATATAACAATCCACAACATTCCCTCACTCAAAGCCTTGTCCTAGTATCATGACTCACCATCTTTTGCTCCAATACATTATTTATTATTTTTCTTGGTCCGCTTAACACATCACTCCACCCCTTTAATTGATCTGATCCAATCTCTGCCAAGTCCTGTTGTGCTATCAATAATACCATCTGGGTTGCCACAACTACCTGACATCCTGTTGGCCACCCCTGTCGTTTCTGGCTGGATGGTACGGTCCAATCAGACACATGTGGCATTGGGGGAAAGATTTGCAAGCTGGGTGGTGGTGAGATCAAAGTGAAGTAATGCGAGCTACCAGTTAGTGCATTTCCCAGTTTGTCCTGTGCTGAACACATTAAACTGTTTGCTATGGAGGTGGTACGAGCTTTCTTGCTTTCCTGTTATCGCCGGCAGAGCTTCAATCTGAAATGGGTATGTTTTTAATGTTTTTTCTTCGTTTCAGGGCAGTTTTTTAAAGTTCAATGTGTTTAGGTGGCTGAGCGATGGGCCCCCTTCTGGACAGTGTTTGTGTTTGCAGATAGAGCTAGTGGGTTGCCAATAATGGGAGCCACATTTCGCACCTACTTGTGAAAGATTTGCGACACCGCTGGTGTCTGCTCTGTTTTTTCCTGTAGGGTCTTCTGTACACATTGCCGCCAACTCAGTCTAGCACAGCGTACTCCCCAGACATGTCATCACTGCAGCCCTGAAGGACTTTCCCTCATTTCTGAGGTTTATATCCTGCAAAGTTCAAGACCATAACAGATTAGGAAAGGCGGGAATCGAACCAGGGACTGCTGAGATTGATAGGTTTTCCGAATGGCTGGAATTGTGTGCTACCAGAGTTCTGATCTGCTCTGTTTTGTTTTTCCCTGCCAGAGGAACCGGCAGTACATGGAGGGAATCATCACCCCACTCACCAGCGGACTCGGAGACATGGGTAAGTCACAGTCAACAGCTCTTTTTCTACTTACCGAAAAGGTTAAACTATTTTCCAACACACATAGAAGGACATGAAGGATTGGACACCCTGATGGAATTTGATTTTAGGTGCGGATTTTACATGGGTATTAAAGTTTCAGTCAACAGCTCTTTTTCTACTTACGGAAAAGGTTCAACTATTTTCCAACACATACTGTAGAACTTATTAGAAGGATTGGACACAAATTTTTACTCTCCAAGCAGAGGTTTAAGGCTTAAAATTTACCCATACAAGTAGCTCCTGCAGGAATTTGATTTTAGGTGCAGATTTTATATGGGTATTCAAGTCTATTTTAATACTGAGAATTACCGTATTGAAGCCCCTACCGATTTGTTTCTCTTGTCCTCTGAAAAGTTAGCCTGGGTACCATCCGGATTTTTGCTACGCAACGCTCGAAAAAATGATTTTTCGAGCGTTGCGTAGCAAAAATCCGGATGGTACCCAGGCTACTGAAAAGTAGCTACCATGTGTGTTGATATTTTGTCTGGTGGCCTTGCACTAGCCCGTAAAGTTGGTGTATGCAGTGTGTATAAGAGCAGATGTGGTAGTTTTGTACCTCAAGTTCAACTGTGAAACAAGTAGGATATCATGGTGGATTGTTAGCATTCAATGTACATGTAACTGTGTGTTTAGAAATGACTGTTATAGAGCTAAGAATGAGATTTGAAAGAAATATGTTGTTTTATTGTTGTGTGCAGTCTATGACAAATCAACAAAACAACTTCTTGTGTGCCATACTTGTAATGAAAACAAGATGATGTCGGCACTATCTCGAAAATGCTATCAGTAAAGTAATTTTACAAATAATGTACTACATGACTGATCATGCTTCAGGAGGAATTTCCTGATGCCTAATGTTGAATTGAAATATCCCTATGATTAACAGTGAGTAAATAAAAATGGTTCACTTTGCCTCATGGAAAAAGGCATGGAGGTCCTCTTGTGTGTAATGATTTTATAAATTGATACCATAACTCTACGATGTCATTCCAGGATGTGCATAAAAAGTCACGTTACAAGATTTGTTTTCATTCATCAGTTCCTATATATTATGAGTTCTGAGTAACCTTGCTAACTTCCTGGTTTCTCTGTTGGAAGATGTAGTCACTTTTAAATATTTCCTGTAACACAATGTCATTACATTTTCCTTAAAGCTATTTTTGGAATCTTAAAATCAAATTCACTAATTTCAGTAATCCTTCCAGAACAAACTTCAAGTGAGCTATTAAGTGTATTTTTCTCAAGTACTATATAACGCAAGGTTACCAGTTTACGGTCGAATTATGGAAAATTCCATTTTTTGTGAAAACGCATGGGCAGAACTAAATATTTAACCCTCGTGAAGAAACAGTAGTTCGTCGGTTATAGAAGTGTGTGCCGTGTCATTTCTTCCCTGCGTTGTTTGTGCCGTGCCAGCTTTTATTTATTTAGTAGTTAACAGTGGAGAATTGCTCTAGGGTGACCAATTAACGGTCACTTGGACCTTTGTCCTTGTATGCTCTACGTAGAAGCGCACATAAACAAACACTTTCTGCAAAAAAATACCGAAGTGGTCAACAACAAACCACGGTAAAATGTCAGTGTGTAGCCCATTGTCGCATGCAGTAGCGCTGTGGTGCTAAATGAGGCTGGACCTGCATTTTTCCCTTAGTAGAACGTGACATAATGGCCCAAGATGTTCCATTAAACCGTTGCAATAGATAACAAGCGTCTATGCCCCTCCAGACACAACGGAACGTCGTGAAAACCCGAGCAAACTTTTCGCTACGGACGCAGGAAGCCATTTTGGCATTTTTGCATAAATTAATGTGCAACAGCGCCACAGTGCGACTTTTACGTACCTTTCTGCAGTTTAAAACCGTGACGTCACCTGATGCAACGATGATGATGATCAAAATGGCGTTCGAAAAAACGCTAGTCAGCGAGAACTGCCACTGTACTTTTGCTTGTTTATTTCAAGGTGTTTGAAAGTTTCATACCTCACAACACCATGGATGATTGAAATAAGAAAGCCAGGTTTGATGCCAGCTATCATTACAATTTCCTAGCATTCTTGGGATTTTAAAAAATCGACGAAATGTTGAGTATTGTATTATGTGAAAAACACAACATGCGTCCAAGGCCATGTTACCTTGCTGTCCCGTCATATCGGAAGATACTCTGCTGTGTCGCTGAATGCAAACTTATTCCCATCCAGTGAATAAATAAAAGACACATATAAGGATCATATTCATGTTATTCTTTGTTGCTCACGACCGTTGATTTTTGGCTGGTACACTTCGTCGAAGCGTGGCCGTGTCACTAACTGACCGTAAACTGGTCCTGCACGTAAACTGGTAACCTTGCGTTATGTACTAATCCATTTCATATTCATTGACATATAATGTATACTGATTAGCCCCTGATACAAATTATGTAACACACACACTCACAACATTTTCCAATTTTCTTGTAAGTATCACAATTATGGTGACTGCATATTATATTTTAAGCTCTGTGCATGTATATGATGTAACCTTAAAAGGAAGGTACATGAACCTGCTTGAATATTATCTTAACCTAGTCTAAAGGCTTACAAAACAAATTCCCATTCCATTCATGTGTTCATAATTAAGATAAGGAAATAAGCATTAGCTTCAATTTCCATACATTTGTACTTCTTTTCCTTAATGACACTTACAGGTAACTGTTGTATAATTAAGAACTTTTGATAAGACAGCATAACTGCTTCATAAATGTTAATTTAAACCTTTACAAGATTGGAAAGGTTGTTATTCAATCCTCTTGTATGTTAGGGATTAAATGGCCATTATGTAAGTGTTCTGGCTTATTTTGCCTGTCAGTTAGTAGAGGGTCTGCATGGGGAGAATCTTGGAAATGCTTAACAGGCTTTTTTTTCGAAATGCTTTATGGTAAATTCAGGAAAGCTGGCAACTCTTGGGGGTAAATTAAGTTGTCACTGTGAAAAGCTTTTTGAAACACTTCTTTGGATTGTTGTTCTGCATTGGTCATGTGGCAAAGCTAGACTACAGATGACAAACAATCTGGCATTTGACGAGATTTGACTACATATACATTACTGTACTCAAGAACAGGAACCATCCGATTTTTTCAGAGAAAGTGTTTTCACTCCCAGCTTGTTTGCAGATGATTTATGTAACTGGACCTCTGGGGAGGATGAAAGGATGGCAAAACAATAACAAATGGGGGATTAATTATTGAACAAATCACCCTCACCCCCTCCCCCACTCCCAGTGAGAGGTACCAGATAGGACTGTTGTCAATTAAAATCCAATTGGGACCAAACAGGATTTGATAACATCAACCTACTTTCCCCCAGAAATCTGTCCTAACAATGTTTTTGGTTGATGGACTGACACAGTTGGTGTACTGAATCTGAATCTGAGAGTATGTCTCAAACAATTGACAAACTTTTCTCATGTAGAAAAGGAAGATTTTTATTTCATCAACATGAAATAGTCAGCAAAAAGAGTATGAGAGTATCCACAGTAAAAGTGGGACATTGACAAATGCAAGAAGTCTAAATATAGTCAAGCTTGTTTATTTCAAGTTCTTGGAAGCACTACAAAATCTAATTTAATTTTTGTAGCAGCTACTTCTACCTATTTTTACCACCATGTAGTTCAAGTACAGTACTTAGTAAATAGGCAGTAGTGAAAATAGCTAGACGTAGACACTTCAAAAATTAATTTGTTTTTTGTATGACTCTCAGCAGGACTTGAAGTAAACTTGCATACATCACCATCATCACACATTTCACCTAATCAAAAAATAGAATTTTTGAAAGCTCTCCCCCTTACTTCTGGATTAAAATAACAGAGCCTGTTGGAAGGAAGCGGGATGTTTATTGAAGTTTGAGGTGGAATGCCCAGAGAGGACATCCCATCCAGGCACTGTTTGTATAGTGAGACTGATATCTGTTTTACATGGACATGTGAATAAACAGACAATGACATGGACGATTACCTATCTGCCTAGTAACTACTTGTGAAGTTGGCTTGGAAGATTCCACATGGTTTTAGGGGTGACCTGTGTATATTATGCTTCAAAATGTGCAGATCAAAAAATAACTTTTTTCATGGCTGTTTGGATAAGAAATACATTTTGGACTTCCAACCCTCATTTTGGTATCTGACAGAATAGTACTATTACATGAGTCCATACTACCCAGTGGGTATTGAAACAGTTTCTTTTGTTAATCCTTTTAAATCTTTCATTTGACAGAAACATGTCTTCTTTTATTCATCTGATCCTTTTTTTTATTTGTACTCTTCGAAATGTTCAAAGTGAATTTTCAGAATGAGATTATCTTTCTGTTGCCTTTGAATTGAGTTTGAAAACAAGATCAAGCTGATCAAACAGGTGGCACACATACATCTGAAACAAAAGGACAGTTGTTGCTGGTGAAAAACAATGTCTATGAGAAAAATCAACATTCAAGGCTTAGGCTTCTTGCAAGATGCCATGCCATTTAAGTAGCTGTTGCGTTGCATTGCTACGACAGAAACACAGACTTAAACCATTCGCAACTTTTTTTTCTTATGCTGTGCTTTCTAAAAACATGCAAGCTCCTTTGAAATTTTGCCAAAGTTTGTCTAGATTAGAGGCAAATCTCAAGGTTGCCGCTAGCTTCTTTCCCAAAAGCTTTGCAGTGCATCTTCTGTGAATAAAGGATCAAGCATGGCTTACTTGCAAGGAAATGCCTCGGGCACAGTTACAACACTGAGAAAAACAACTTTCAAACATCTGTCTACAAGTGTACAACTGCATACAACATGTAGTTTCCGCTCATTTAGACCACAGTTACTTAATTTGTTGGTATAAAATAATAAAAAATGGGAAATGACAATCTGAGACATATTTTATCATCCAGAATATTGTTTGTTAGATGACTCAGAGCCAAGCAAGTAAAAGAGTGTCACCTTAGACCCAATTTTCCATCATTTAAGTGTCAAGTTGAATTGGTTAGGAATCTGACCCAAGGAAGGAATTTCCCAGAACAAAATTCCAGCCTTCACTTCAAAGAGATTCCAAGGGTGAGTCATAAAGCTCAAGTTCAGCTACCGGTTGTTAAATTTCTTGTTGGAATGTCCAGAATTCCATAGTGAGATTCCTGAATTCCACAGGGCAGTTGAGCGGCTATAATTATCACAGGAAAACCCCCAATGTTTTGTCTGTCTATCAGAAGTTTGCAGCTGGATTCTGTCTTGTGTTGGGAGGCTAGGTTGAGTCAGGCCACCCAGCCAAGTCTAGATCTGGGGTGAACCTCATTGGATTCCCAGCAGTTTGGGGTATGGTAGCTCTGGTAGCTCTGCACAGACACAGATCTCCAGGAGGCCAATGAAGCAGCGCGGAACTGGCTGGAGTGGATTGGCGACAAGCTATGATGATGATGATGATGTCTATATATGTGATATCAAGGACCTTAAAATCTAGATTTTAAGCTCCTTTGTGATGTCTATTGACAGTGTTGTCATTCTTACATGCATTTATCTTTCTAGGGCCACACCAATTTAATTTGTTGGTTCTAAGATTTTTTCAGAAAAAATATGAAGCGACAGGGCGAAAAAAAATTAAAATAAAAACAGGTCTAGGCATCCTATTATAGCCCCAAATGCTACTATATGAGCCATGAAGTCAACAAAAAAGGCTGGGTTAAAATTTAAAGTACAAATTTTGAACTTTTAATCAAACCACTGCCTTGATAGATGGAAAAAACTGTAACAACTAGGAAGAAAAGGAATTTCCTCAACTGTTGGGGGCAAAATATGAGCATTTTTGAGTTGATTCAGAATCAGAATCTTTTTTTTTTTTGCAAATCAGAAAAAAATGAAGAGGCGAATCCGAGAACCAACAAATTAAATTGGTGTGGCCTAGGGTTGAAATATTCATTTTGGTGAATGAATGAAAAACATTCACCCACCTTTTTCATCTAGTACGGTATATATATAGATTTCTACAGTATATATTGTATTAAATTTTGGTCTGATGTAAAAATTTGATTTTTTTTCATCCAGACTATTGAACGTTTCTTCCATGACCAAAGTAGCCTGAGTGTCAGCCTTGTTAGCTTTCGTCCGCTACCCAAGGTCCGCTCCCCGGGAGCGGACGAAAGCTAACAAGGCTGACACTCAGGCTATGACCAAAGTAGTTTTGTGCCAAATATGCATTTATCGTTTTCTTGTTTGAAAAATTGAGCAAAATTTTGCCTCACACCAGTTCTGACTAAGGCATCACTGTTCCAAATTATTTTGAAAGTTCCTACCTTCTAAACTGGATCCAGATTTTCTCAACATGACCCTGCAGTTATCAAGACCCCATAGCCTGACCCTTAATGGCCTGATGCCATGGTCGATAGTATGTGCCCTATGTCAGCTATGCGACACTTTGCCAGTAAAGGGCTTAATCATTATAAATCTCGTTTCCACCCAGAGAATTGCCACCTGTCAAATCTACTGAAAATAGTGGTAAGGAAAAGTTCTTTGCAGTACCACCTGATCCCAGTAGGGGGCATCACTGTAATGGTGGTGGATTGACAACCATGCAGGGGACCTGGCAGGATGTTTTTGCAAGGATCAGAAAAAACATGACACTGTTTGTATATGCATTAGTCATGGTTGTCCTTCAAGCAGGCGGTCTTTTAAGTTCCTTTGTTGATTTGAAGGTCTGTTTTAATTTCAAACACTGTGAATGTATCCCTTTGCTATGAAATAAAGTCACCTTGCCGGAAACACGAACTGGGTGGTTTAAAGGGAGAGATGAAAATGTTGATGAGTGAGCATGCATGTAGCCTGGATCCCATACTTTTGTAACTAATTTCAGCAGGTTGGATAGCAAAGTTTTTTATCACAACCATTTATTTTTCACGAGCCTACGTTTCAATGACCGTCTGTCATCTTCATCAGGGCAATTCTGACTGGTTTACTGTGCACTGACGCTAGATGTTACTTGGTGCATAGTGCACTAAAGGTGTTACATAGTTCACAGTGCGCTGCTACTTGGTTCACAGTGCACTTAAGCTAGTTTTTACTGTTAACAATGCAGACCTTCAGGGCTCCTCCACTCTAGGGTTGGGTGTTAAGCATAAACTCAATCTTTTATTTCGAAGTCCCCAACTCTCATATACTGAAATGTAAAGTTGAAAAAAAAGTACAGTAATGTAATAAATGGAGTTCAAAGTATAAATAACATTCCTCCAAGACAATTCGTCGTTGGTCCATTGGAATGTTATAAGATTAAACTTTTAAGATACATTGGAAACAGAGAAGACTCCTCCTAAGAGCCTTATCTTAAACAGATAAGATGTAGAAACAGAGTGACATTTTGCTGACCTGGATAGATCAGAACCATCTGGATAAGGAGACCTTGCAGGCCTTGGTAAAATAAACAGGACAGGCAATATTGCTGGGTTTGTTTTAACGGACTTGCACTTTACTTTGCCACACACAGTGGGGTCACAGTGCAGGTCATATGTAATATTCAGCAGTGCTCAATGGTACAAACAAATATACCAGTACAAGTTGTACTAAAACAGTAAAGATAATTAAGCTTTCTTGAAAGCTAGAGTGAAGTTTTGTTTTCGACTTTTCAGTCTGTCTCTTTTTACTTTACCAATAATACAAAATGCAGTTACTGTAAAAGTTTGGGTACTGGATTAAGTCCAATTTCATGTGTTGGAAAACAGTTCAAACCTGTTTCATGATTGGAGCGTGGCCATACATGTACATCCTCATGCTGCTATATTTCAGTCTGAGGGACTGGAAGGATTGCTGAGCAGTGTGGGTAAGGGGGTGAAGACTGCCATCTCTAATTGCCTTGTTTGTATTTATTGCAGAAGCGAACCCTTGGATCCGGGCTGATGCAGGCCCACCACCAGCCATGATGTCACCTTCGCAAGTAGGCAACAGTTTTTTTGCCTTACTCCAAGGGAGTGAAGTAACTTTTTGGCTTGTTTGTCTCTGTGTATCCAAGCCTTTGGATCCCTGAATGCTATAGCCTTCGATAGCCAAACCTAATGGTGGTTTGCAGATCTGCCAGTGCCAGTGCCAACTGTCAGTGTTGAAGAGGAAGACAAGCTGTAAAAGAACCAATTGTCGACCAATTGCTCTACAAGATCCTTTCCCATCACAAGACAGCTGAATTTTTTGTACGACATATCCATGATTGTCCCAGAATTGCCTTCAATTTGCCGGTATAAACCTGTCAAAATTTCAGAACAGTGACAGTACTCTGTGTTCAAAGAACATTGTAGAAACTGTTCCTGACAGAATTGGGGCATTTCTGTACCAGCTGAAGTGGAAAACTCAGATTTTACACAGATGCTGGAGATGTTTATGACATCTGAGTTGTTCAGGCGCACTGATTACCCTTATGAGGAGGCTGAGCCTACGAACACGATTTTAATGGCCTTCACGTCTAATAAGCTCACTTTGTAACACGACATGTACAGTTCACTGTGTACATGCTGCATTTATTCTTACCAGTAACCTGAATATTGCAGCATGCAGCAGCAGTGATGACAAAAGATCGAAACGTTCTTTGTGTATGAATTTCTTGCTTGCTTGCTAATGGCCTGCCTACTGCTTTGACTTTTTGTATCCTTGAACAGATTTCAAAACTTGTGGGTTTTTTTTGTATCACGTTTGTGTGATGTCATGGATATTTCCAATGTCCCATCGAAGGCTGTCTCCAACAACAGGGCTAGAAATACTTCTTTTCTACTTTTTCTGTTTCATTGTACTTCAAAGTTCTGAATGGCAAAAACTTTTGAAATCCCTTGGACATCCGTGATTTGCATGTTTTCACGTGCTGATTTTTCACCCACAAGTTTTTCAGACACAAATTTTTCACATGCACAGAACCTTAATTATAGCCTGGGTACCATCCTGGTTAGTTTATGTCCGCTCTGACTGTAGCAACTGTGGGAGCAGATGTAAACTAACCAAATGACTCACCAACCTGATGAAGCTTATTCAGTTATTGATTGATTGATCAATCTCTATCACACAGGGAACCGTCGCTCCCCAACACCACGAGAGCCCCGAGACGGGATCGCCCGCCACGCCTCTCATGCCCGTAAGCTGGTGTTGTTGTTGTTGATCCCATGATGCAATGGGCCGGTCACATGGCAGCTCGCTTGCCATGATTGGTCGGTGCCTAGGCAACAGTCTCTAGGCAACAGTCCACTTCTAGGTATTCTACAGTGAGATCTCTCACCACTACAAGAGCAACTGTCTGTAAAAACCAAGCAAAATTGGCAAAAAAACTTTTCTCTATTTGTTTGGGCACAGGACAACATTTGAAGGTATTAATATTAGGTATTGATAACAGAGTGTCTCCAAACTATCAGTTTGAGGTAGTTACACATAAAGTGTGTCAAAGATGATTGATTTTGGGTATTTCACAAGATTATTTTGAAAAGGGGCCATTTTAATTATTTGACGCAACCACTGACTCAAATCCCATTTTTGCAACTTTAGGCCAAGGCCCATTTGCAAATACCACAGACACATATTTTGACATAAACATTTTTTTTACTTGGGTCACCCTCAGCTTGGATTTTATAGACAGAACCTCTTGGGTAACTGTTGTAGCTTCTGTGTGAAACCAGCTTATTTGTCATTTTTGGTTATTTTTTTCTTAACAATTTGCTCTGTATTGAATGAGGTGTAGATTGTTTGAATAAGTTGTCCTTTTGTCCTATGATTTTGCACCTAAGCTGTAGAATAGCACTAGAATAGGGGTTAGGTTAGCAGATAAGTCTCTTAGCCACGTTTTTTGTATCACTGTCATTTGCTTGAAAGATATTTATCATGATATTGTACAAAATGTAGGTAGCAGGAAAAAATATATCTTGAACCTCCTGTCCACCAGAGGTTATGAGCACTGAGTAACCAAATATTTGCTCAACGACTTTGATAGACAATGAGCAATTTTTAAACATTTTGTGTGTTTTATTGTGTTTTAATTATAAACCATTGTCAAACATTGAGCATCATATTCCAGTGATAACATCAAGGGTGACACAAATAAAATTTCGGTTGCTCAACAGTTCTTAGTGATTGTTGTCTAGTGGAAGGGAGGCCTTCACCCTTAACCATTCAAATGGATGCAAGCCAAAAAGAAAACCTTATCAACAGCTTTAATGTTGTCTCCTATTTCAGATGTCATTAACGGCTTTTCCTCTCCGTTTCCCGGTGTTTTTGCCACAGACCCCCTCGGAGAAGTTGGCTCACGCCGGACGGGTGGTGAGAACGGTGATTCTAGCCAAGGTGCCACAGATGGTCCGCGACCGAAAATACCATCTGCGCACGTACAGGTAAGAACAGGACTTACTGCCAAAGCGTTGGCTTAATCTCTCAGCATGGAACACGTCCATAATAGGCAAGCTACCTGTGTTTTGAGACTGTAAGCAAACGAGTGAGCGTAAGCTTTTGTGTTTAAGGATATATAAGTGACGTATATACATATAGGAGATATTTGTCCTGAGTGGGAAAATTGCCTTAGGGGATATTTGGTCAGCAGAGTGCGTTAAATTGTATCACATCATTGGATGATGTGCTACAATATGTCAATAAAAGATTGTTTCCATTCATTTTTTTGCCATTTTCAGACAGCAGTTAGTTTTTGGAAGGTATTATTGCATTGATTGTTCACTTTCCTAAAATTTATCGGTGTGCAAAATCACAAACTGGTCAAGCAACGTACCATTTCAAATGCACAAAAACATGCACCAATATATGTAAAGCATTAGAAGAGTGTTTCTCCTTGAATGTGTTTTACAGGGGGTGAAATTTGAACCGGCATGCACCTGTTAGATGCTGAAACTTAATTCAGTAGGGCCATAACATCGAATTTGTTGGTTCTCAGATTTTGCTGTAATTTGTTGGTTCTTTGGTAGACAATCAGGAAGCCCACCTGCTAGATTTGTATGTACATGTGTAGGCCACACCAATATAATTTGTTAGTTCTAGAAAAGATATGAAGCACAGGGCAAAAAACAGGCTAAGGAATCTTATTATAGCATCAAATGCTATGATAGAAGCCATGAAGTCAACATACCCGGTTTTTGATTCAAACAATGAATTTTGAACTTTTGATAAAACCAAAGTGCTGGATTGATAGATGGAAAAACTATTAATATACAACCAGGACATGAGGAAGACAAGTACTTCCTTTAACTGTCTGGGCCGACATATGAGCATTTTGGAGTTGATGCAGGACCTTTTTTTTTGCAAATCAGCAAAGCAAGAATTTAAAAGATGGAAAAAATATAGTTATTGATACAGGGAAAATGATGATGATGATGATGATGTGAAATGGTTTGTTCCAGGAGGTGCATGGTGGGATCGGAGATGGTGGATTGGCTGATGGACCAGAGTGCACTGGTGCACACACGGATGCAGGCAGTGGGGATGTGGCAGGCACTGTTGGAGGAGGGGGTCATCTCTCATGGTGAGGGAGGGTTCATTATATGTATAGGGGAGGGGGCTTGCATCTGTTTTGGTATAGCCAGTAGCCCCTAGGTCTATGTAATGCTGTTAGCAGGTACTGTACTGTGAAAATATCAGTGTTTTTTTTGTTTTACAGTGAGTTGTTTGAAGTGAGAATTTAATTAATTGAGTGGGCTATACATGTATTTCATCTTCTGCATTCAAAAGTATTAACAGTAGATATTACAAATATATATGGCATACATTATGTATAGGGGAGGGGCATTTGCATCTGGGTGCAACAGGTATAACCTTTTTTGGCGTCGGTAAAAAAGGTTAAAGGGTATCAAAGCAAACAAAACGAAAAGTATTTTGATCCCAGCTCTATCCTTTGTGCAGAGGCAGTCATAAGTAATGGTCTGGCCCAGATCTACTTAATGGTCATATTAAAGGTGACATAAGATCCTGTGCACTACGGTTACTTAGTCTGATTTTCCACCAGCCAGACTCAGCCAGGCGGAAATGCCTGACTGAATGTCAGATCTGTCACGACTTCTCCCAAAGGCCAGGACAGAATCAGAGCGGAAGCGTGGACGATGTTTGGAAAAAACAGTCTGTAACTGGTTCAGTTTTCCTGACGATGTTTACGTGATTCATACGTATGTCTTGAGGTTAAGAAATGGCATCCGGGTTCGACGAGGCGTCGTGTTGTTGTCGCATCCCGGGGTTCGTTCCGATCTGCAAGCGTCCGACCGTGAACTGCCTCCCTTCCCTTTACACAGTGTGCCAGGAACACCAGTTTAAGGACAAGTACCTGTTCTACCGTTTCCGTGACGATGACACGGGCATGGGCAGTATGCCGTCCACCGGGGAGAAGAAGGAGTGTGAGGAGGAGTTACAGGACACGCTGGTGATGCTGTCACAGATCGGACCTGACGCCATGATGCGAATGATACTCCGCAAGCTGTGAGTGCTCAAGATTTTTGCATAAAGGGGGGATTTCAATTTGTTTATCTTTGTCAGCTCTCACTCAGCGTTAGCCCTTGGGACTGCCTAGACAGAAAGCTATCAGAGTTTTGCGCTGAGGAAAGAATTTACTTCACATTTATCTCTGTCCCTGATTGTAGCAATTTTCTACATAAGATTGTTGTTAAGGTCAACAGTTGATGGTAGAAAAGCTCTGTCATTATTCCTTGGTTTCATATATTTTTTCTGCTTTTACCTGTGTAATGTGCAATGTTTGATGCACCAGCAATTTGCTACCTGTGTTCTGTGTGTATTATGTTACAACCCAAATGCCAGGTAATTTTTCAAATTGCCTGCTCCAGACACGTTTCAAGAAGCTTGCTCCAGGTTTTTTCTTTCCATGGGATAAATAGCAATTTATAGATATTAAGATTCTTTATTGACACAACAAGCTTTTGTTCTGAATGTGTGTCGTGTTTTCTTGACAGGCCACATGAGAGATCAGTTGATGAACTTGAGATCATCTACGAGGAGCTTCTCCACATCAAGGCCTTGACTCATCTCTCCAACACTGTGAGTATTAATTAGTTAGTTTAGCTAGAATGCTGAGTGTCAGGACTGGCAGTCAAATGATCAGGCAAAAGTATGTCCCTGTCCCTGTTGCTGAACAACATTCACACATCCATCCCTGTCCCTGGTGCTGAACAACATTCACACATCCATGCCTGTCCCTGGTGCTGAACAACATTCACACATCCATGCCTGTATCTGGTGCTGAACAACATTCACACATCCATGCCTGTCCCTGGTGCTGAACAACATTCACACATCCATGCCTGTCCCTGGTGCTGAACAACATTCACACATCCATGCCTGCCCCTGGTGCTGAACAACATTCACACATACATGCCTGTCCCTGGTGCTGAACAACATTCACACATCCATGCCTGTCCCTGGTGCTGAACACCATTCCACACATCCATGCCTGTCCCTGGTGCTGAACAACATTCACACATCCATCCCTGTCCCTGGTGCTGAACAACATTCACACATCCATGCCTGTCCCCGGTGCTGAACAACATTCACACATCCATGCCTGTCCCTGGTGCTGAACAACATTCACACATCCATGCCTGTCCCTGGTGCTGAACAACATTCACACAACCACCCCTGTACCTTAACAACATTCATACATCGATCCTCATCCCCTAACAACATTCACATATCCATCCCTGTCCCTTCTGCGTAACAACATTTACACATCCATCCTATAGGTTCCTTTCCTTTTTAAAGATTTTCTGACAATTCAATGCTAAACACTTGTCTGTAATATGACTTGGCAAAGTTTCAATGTTTTCAATTCTCACAGATATGTTATGTAGTGCTATAGTTCCAAGCTTAAGCCTATCACTGTCATCCAAAGTTTAAATAATCCATGTGATCTTACAAACACATGTACTGCTACCTTTTTTAAATGGCAGAAGACAAGGTAGTCTTGAATAGCACACATGTGACAGTCTGTTCACATGCACCTGGCCCCTTTTGTTCCGAGTCACGTCAACATGCGTCAACAACCTTTCAACATCTACTGTACTGTCATTTAATGCCAACGTTAGAATAGAAAGCGAGGGAGGAAGATACAATAGGGCATTCAAATGTCATCCTTAGTCAGTGTTTGTTAAGCAGGTCATAGTGACTTTTCCTATGTCATGCCCCTTTGGCTCCCAGGACTCGAAATACCACTTGCATGATAGTAGGCCAGTGCAAGTAAAACTGGAGCTGTGCAGGTATTTTTTTAATGTCAACCTGTACCTAACCTGCACCAGTCTATATACTAGCTATATGCAAGGTAGTGCAGGTAAAATTGGAGCTGTGCACTAGGTATTTATGACATCTACCTGCAACTAACCTGCACCTGTCTGGTCCAAGTACTGGGTTTATATATTCATGTAAGTGTATATGGGTTTTTTTTGTTGCTATATTGACTCCTACCACTGATGCCATTTAAAAGAAATAATGGCAATAGTTTCAGTATGATCCATGCTTCCAAAGTCTGAATGGTGCAGGTAAAATTTGCCTGGTGCAGGTAATTTTCCAAGTTACCTACACCAAGGCTGGTATGCAGATAAAGGATTTTGAGCCCAGACTATTATCAGGTATATAGCACTTCTGATGTATCTCTCATTGCTGAGCCTCCCAATCAGCCTTGAAGCATCCATTTGTGCTCAATGAAAGGTATGCAAATTCCAAGATGTTTTGAAGTTGTATGAGGTATAAGGAGCCGAGGTGCAGGTGTCTTGTCATTAGTCCCCGCTTTGTCGCTTAGTACACATCTTGCCATGTCGTTCTTAAACAAGATGCTTAAGCAACAAGCTGTGCAGAAGAAGCAAGCAGGTGGCTCTCAGAAGGGTGAGAAATGTAGAGTTTGTCAAGAACAGGTAATTTTAAACATTGTTTCATTGATGTGGCCAGCTTGTCTTCAGCTTGCACTGAAAAATGGTTTCCTTTCTCCGGGAAAGATTCTTCAAACAATGAGAAAATTTCTATCAGTAGATCTGTATCATGTTTTCATGTCTTTAAGATTTGCCAATTAGCCGAAAAAGATTTTATACAATTACTTATTAATGCATATCCTTAAATTGGAGATGAAATGTTCTTTTCTTGTACAACCTTCAAGTTGTAAAAGTTGTATTATGTAAAGAATGGAGTAATACATGTACTGTTTACATACACATTATACAGAGGCTTTATATTTCCACACTAAAAGGTTAAATGTTACAACTGCAACAGTGTTGGGTGCAGAGAGTATCAGCACAAGCTTAGCATGACTTCTGAAGCTTCCCAGAGATGGTCCGGCAGTGTTATGTAAGGTGTGGCTGTGTTGAGTCCAGGATAAGCTTTCTCCATGCATTCCAACCATAATCGTTGACCAGAGTTTCCTGTCAAAAAAAGGAATGTTGTCATTTTAACATATTTTACTGTTAACCATTCTTCCTGGTCTATGGTTCTAATGTAGCCTAACCACATCACATTTTCTCTGGTCAGGCCCCTGGCCTCTGGCCTGACTACATCATGCTTCTATCTAGCACCCCTTCCACTGGTCAGGGGCCTGCCTACATCATACTTCTAGCAACCCTTCCACTGCTCAGGTCACTAGCCTGCCTACATCATACTTCTAGCAACCCTTCAACTGGTCAGGTCCCTAGCATGACTACATCACATTTCTAGCAGCCCTTCCACTGGTCTAGCCTCTAGCCTGACTACATCATACTTCTAGCAGCCCTACCACTGGTCCTAGTCACCCCCTGGCAGAGAGATTATGTAATACAAGCTAGGTGTTATTGTCAGAGTCAGACGGCATATGGGCACTCAGAAGTAAAACCAACTTTTTGAGTTAATTTTCAGCAAGCAGTAACTTCCACACATTACACGGCACACACGTGTTTTGACTTTCACGAGGACAGAAGCTGCAATTTTCAAGTCAATTTTGGTTCTTCATGAAAAGAAATGTAATTTCCAAGAAGTAGTTTGGATGTCATTGTTCACAGTCATGGTAAACATGATACAACACAGAAGTAGTATCCGTTCTACTGTAGTATTGATTACCATAGCAATTCTGTGCTAAATGAAAGTCTGTGCTAAAATGTAACCAAACACGTCCCTTAAGTCAGTCATGGCTTTCAAAGGCTCATTACATGGGCCTTGCAATGTCCAAAATGTGAAGGCAGACTCAAGCATAAACAATAAAATCAATGTTATTCTGCACCAGGGACAGGCATGGATGTGTGAATGTTGTTCAGCACCAGGGACAGGCATGGATGTGTGAATGCTGTTCAGCACCAGGGACAGGCATGGATGTGTGAATGCTGTTCAGGGACAGGCATGGATGTGTGAATTTTGTTCAGCACCAGGGACAGGCGTGAGTGTGTGAATGTTGTTCAGCACCAGGGACAGGGATGGTTGTGTGAATGTTATAAAGGACAGATAAATTGTTTTTGTGCTAGCTATGCAGATATGCTTCCGTCACAGGTGACATCTCTTTTATCTTGACCCAAATGTCAATTGATGACTTACATAAGCTGCCGTCCATATAACTATATGACCAGTAGGCATGGTAAGTTTCCTTGGCGTAATAGTGCTCATGTCTTTGAAACCCCCTCCCACGCACTAGGTTTCATGCAGTGACAGAACATGTCACATAAGTAGCGTCTAAACTTTCTTGGGACCATCTAGCTCAAGTGCCTAGTAGTGGTCATTTGACTTTGCGTTGAGCAACACAGTTTTTAAAAAAGCAAAAGCAAATGTCACAGTTTCTCTCTCATTTCCTCAAATTAGACTAATCAATAGACCTATCATGATATGACGTGTTTTAGTTTTGATGTATGCTTTCTATTTCCTGCTGCCAAATGCCCTAAGGCATCTCGTCATTTTCATCCTACCTAATATCCGTTCGTTGTTAATGCACGAAGAGCGACTTGAAGATGAAATAAAACGACACATCTTCGCTGTTCTTAGGTAGCAAAATCCTTTGATATGTGTTTTATCTAACTCAAGCTGTCCCAATATAAGGTAACCTGTTGAGTCTTAACTTTTTTCTTAGTGGTACGGTTTTTATATTTTGTATTCATTCTATCTTTCCTCCTCTGCCATTAAATAGCTGTTGTATCTTAGTATTTTCTCAGAAAATGTCCCAATGATGCCTCTAAAACTGCTTGGTTGTTGGATCAAAAGAGTTGCTTACATACATGACAGCTAGATTTAAGGCTGCAGTATTAAAAGGTCACGTGCGTAGATCAAAAGAGTCACTAAATCCCCACTCGAACACATCATACGATGCAGCTACGGTGTTTTTATCCCCGCAACTGTCGTACGGTACAACAGATTTGAGAAGAAACGGCTTTACTGACCTGACAGTTAGATTTAAACCTGCTGAATTGAAAGGTCATGTGTGACAAGTTGAAGTCAGAAAATCCTCTGTCATGTTTGTTCTTGAACCCAGACCGTTATATGGGAGTAATGTTATACTCTGTACACATGCTACAATGTCAGGCCACCCTGCACCAGATTTCTGTGAGGGCAGGTTGACTTCAAACCAGTCAGAAATTTCCACCGGGCTTACGTAAATGCGCAGGTGTAGAATCACTCGTCCAATGAGAGAGCGCCTTCAGTCATGTTAATTTTGTTAAGTACCGATGGTTCGGAAGCCTCTAGACATTTTTACTTCACCATGCTCCGCTCAAACAAGACTATTGCGAAGCTCCTCGATCAAAGCAAGCTACTGGGAAAGACTTGTTCTTCGGTGGGTAGTGTCGAGATTTTACACAACACTGGCAAAGGAGAACATGCTACACCAGTCTTGTTGGAGACTAAATTTTCCTGTTTCTGACAAAGACATAAGCTGCAGTTGCATATATTTTGTTTTGTTGCAAACTGTTAGGATTATCTGTTGTACATGATAAGTGTCAAACACTAAGATGGTTTGTTATGTATTCCATTGCAATTCTAGTTTTGTGAAAGGCTGACATTCTGACTTTGACTCCATTTCCAGTTATTCATAATCTTTAGTCACCCATATGCCGTATTCTCTTAAGGCTGCTTTTCTACCAGGTGGCAATTGCTGGTTGTAGCATCTCAGTTAAAAGAGGGTGTAATGTTTCCTTTTCACTTTCAGTATCTCTCACACTCCTTGAAATAATCTTCTTGTTTAATAAGTCATATTTTCCCTTGTTTGCAGGTGAAGAGAGAGCTAGCCAGTGTCTTGAAGTTCGAATCCCACGCCCGAGCTGGTACCATACGTGAGTTACCGTTCCTTTTTTGATGGTTGGTTTTCCCTTGGTTCGTCCGTCATTCGATGGATACATTACCATGTAAATGAAAGCTAAGCAGATGTCAGGAGAGAAAGAAAACCTGAGCAGATGATACAAGAAGTGATGCAATTCTTTACTGCATGTAACTGCTAATAAACTCTTGCAAAATATATTCTCTTCTCCGTTAGAAAGAGCTCATAGTACATTACAACTGTACATCTAAGTCTAGTCTTATTAGCATTAGTTCATTTCAAGACATCCAGGGGACCAATTATTTGAGTCACATATACATGTTGTGGCAAGAAGTCATAAGCTCTTAGGAAGATGTCTGATAGGCAACATTAGCAGGTGAGAGACTTTACTGGTTGCATAAAAGAAAACTCCAATATACTTCAAGTTGGTTTGTAGATGTTTGATATCAGTACCTGATGTCGTTTTGTCCTTGTTTGAATTTAGCTTTGAACACTGTTCAATTATGAAAAGGCTTTTTCTTCCCCAGAGACTTTCCCAGCAACTTCAATATTTCTTACTTATCCATCGTCACGGAGGGAAAACGATTGAATCATGGCGGCTTTTCCATTCCAAGTAAAATCAGATAAGCCTCAAAGCACGCCTTCCTAGCCCAGAGGTATAACTTGCCTCACAGACGAACTGAGTGTCTGATACTATAATCACAGGCTCCAAACCTACAAGCCATTACAATAAAGTCTTCTTCAAATAAAAGACTTATTTTCCACACGGCAAAATGTCTTCCCTGTCACTTTCATGTCAAGGTGACCTTCCACTAGGGGGCCTGTGATTGGATAAGACAACAGTTCCCTGCCAGGTTGAAGCGTTACCATGGCGAAACACCTGCGTACATCTACGCACGAGCCCTTATACACAATAACTGTCTATAAAAAGACCTTGGAGGTGTAGTGGGAGATGCAAGAATAAACGATGTAAAGGGTTTTATACAGGAGCATCTGTGTTCAGCTTTTAGTAGTCTACTAGTACTAGTAAGATGGCTAGCATGGCTGTATCGCACTGTACTCAAGGTATTTCTTTGTCTTTCGAACATCTTGATTTTTCTGTGATATTGTCTTTTTCGTGGTGAGTTATGAAATGAGGGTATCATAGGTGAGGTTTTATTGTTATGATATTAGCCCCTTTCCTGTAGCACACAAGTCGGGTGAACAACAATAGCAACTGTTAGCCAGGATTCAAACTCAACAAATTCACAACAACAACTCCAAATCCATTACAGAGTAGTAAAATATTTTATTTGTTAACGTTTTTCTTGTTTTCCTGCAGTGTTTAACCAGGGAGATGAGGGGACCTCCTGGTACATCATCCTGAAAGGTTCTGTCAACGTCGTCATCTATGGAAAGGTAAGACCAGAAAGATTGGATATCCTTTCCTTTTTTTGTATCTCTGTATTGGCATATGTTGTCATGGGTGCTTACAGATAGCATGCTTTTGACTAACCAACCCTTGCAAATTAGTCAGAAAGCTCCTGTTATTCAGAATAGTGTTGTCTGTCCTCGGGCCTGGGAGTGCAAGTGCCGGAGAGATCTACCCGTAGCTCCCCTTCCCTGTTGAGGGTGGGGTTGTACATTCTTTCATATATTGCCTCTTTAACACCCCGTTCCCACCAGCGTGTTTTGCGGTCTAAGATATCTGTGGACTCGAGTTTGAAAGAGTGACCCTGGTTGTGTTGTAGGTGGTGGAAAATACTAAGCTGAAGAGTAGCCGTTGGCACTAGGTCTGCAATGTTCTATCTATCATGTAGTACATGTATGTTTGGGGAGAAAGCCTGTCACACCCCGCAAGGCGTTGCCAAAAACTATGCCACCCGTTGCGGCTAATTAACCAGTATACAGATTGCGGGCATTGTGCGGAGGGTGCCCTTTGTCTACTTTGATTGACGCGGCCACATGCCCTATTACACGCCCTGTTAGAGTCACCCTTTTAGCCTAGGCAACCTGGGAGTATCGCTGTACTTCAGTGGTTGCTACCACAGATTTGTTTTGTATATGGGATTAGATACTCCCGTGCAAAGGATTAAAAACAAAGGGACCACCGTATTTTGTGTGTGTAACCTTAATCCTTAATCAGTACAGTTCACGTGGCTGGGATGAAGATATAATGTCACATATAGAGCTTTGTTCTTTGTTGCTCACATGTGTTGTGTCCCTAGAGTTGAACCTGGAATCCACTGGCCCTTTGTTGTATGGTAGAACCTATGGGGACTGCCTTTGGCAGGACACAGCATGCTTTTAGTCTAGCAGGCAGTTGTTGTGTATGTCTACACGTACTGTGGAAGGAGAATTCTAAACATGTTTCTTACAATATTGTCTGGCAAAGACTGTATAGCTAAGGTAGGTGGCAAACCATGCTGTAATGATAGATGTGTTTTCTTTTTGGTTTGTTTATGGGTTACAATGCATTATTAGAAATTGAGTCATTGTTCACGAGAAGAGTAGTAATAGCCATTGTTTCAGTTCTTTAAAATTCCAGTACTGATGGATTTTGTGCACTAAAAAACACTGTTTGGGGTCCTCAAATTATGTTGTTTTTTTGTACACTTATAGCAGAATTTGATGTATTTCACTCTGTAATATTTGTTGTGTTGTATATAGGACAACCCAAACACATGCATACCACATGCAAATGTTCAGCCTAATTGTCTGTAGCCCAAGGACTGTGTCAGAAACTGACGTGTGTCGTGTGTTTGTACCACTTGTGATGCAGGGCGTCGTGTGCACGCTTCACGAGGGGGATGACTTCGGAAAGCTCGCGCTGGTGAACGACGCACCGCGCGCCGCCTCTATCGTGCTACGGGAGGACAACTGTCAGTTTCTCCGCGTGGATAAAGATGACTTCAACAGGATACTGAGAGTAAGTCAAACAACTGTTAAGAGAGAGTGGGCACATTTGCTGTATGTCTTCGTACAATTTTGATCTCGCCGTATTTTCAAGGAGCCTGTGACAGAAACAACCTCTGACAACGATCTAAAACTCTTACAGTCTTTTCTGTTAGGCATCACAATTTTTAGGGCACATATATGACTTTAAAAAGAATGCTTATTTTGCCATCATACAACATGAAATCAACTTATGATTCTGACTGGTATATCCTGACCACCACATTTATTTAACCTTCAGCCTTCTGATGTAGCCATTTGGCACCAAATTTGCATTGGTTATGGGGTTAATTATGTAGCTGGAAGAAGGTTAACAAAGTAGCAAATTTAAGGGGATCAAACTCCATACTTCTTGACATGCGAAATATTCCATTCCTTGTTTTGTTCTGAAGGACGTGGAGGCCAACACCGTGCGACTGAAGGAGCATGGGCAAGACGTCTTGGTTTTGGAGAAGATTCCAGCCAACAACCACATCGACAGCGATGAACACACTCACTTCAGGTTAGTGTGGTCTACCACCAAATGTAGGAATTGCAAGACTTTCTTATTAATCACACTTTTTCTTGCAAATATTCATTTAGTTGATATGCAGTCAAAGATGTTGATAGTGAACTCTTAAAGGACAAGAAGGACCCAGGGTTGTCCCCTTTAAAGATATTATCTCCTGTCACAGCAAAGATTCCATTGGATACATGTGTCTCTGTAGATACTCGGTGATGGCGGGGACGCCAGAGAAAATGCTGGAACACCTGTTGGAGACCCGGGTGGACAGCAGATGGAACGATGAGCCCACAGTCAACGGTGAGAGACCTTAATTTGTTCTTTCAGTTGTTTACTGGTATTTATTTGCGCATAAATATTACATTTTAACAATGACAGTGACAAGAATATAATAAAAAAGAACTTGCAGGGACGGCCATCACCCAAAAATTTTGCTTGAATAAAGTTTATAGAATATTCACATACTAATTAGATAGACACATTCTTTAGATAAACTTGATTGCAAAACCATTGTGATCTTGTAAGGTGCAACGTTGAAGGTGCAACGTTGCGCACATGCTAACATAACAGTTGTTACATTAACAACATGAGCTGGTGTGTTGAATGGATTTCTAAGGTATAGTAACTGTTGTATATTGTAGATGTCTTCTTCTGTGTTTAAAAACTGCTTCTGTAAAAGAAATAAAGAATTGCTGTTAAACAAATCATTCTTGTGTGTTTTCCAGCAGACACATTCATGGAGGACTTTCTGCTGACTCACAGTGTGTTCATGCCCTGTAACCAGCTGTGTCCTGCACTCATGGCCTAATATCCTTTCATGTGAGACACAGGAGAAGTTACACTATCAAGAATTTTTTTGTGTGGCTCTAATGCCTTAATACTTTCTAGGGACATCAAAAGCTAGAAATTGGGCCTTGCTGCATGTAAAGCCCCTGTCACGCATAGGAAAATGTGGCCTTCTAAACACTAGCCGAACTCCCCTCATGCAGCCATGGTTAGGATCAGTAGGAGTAGGTTGGGAAGAAGGCTGGACAGTGTTGAGCCAGTCAGATCAGGTTGAGCATGCAACATGTAGAGATAGAGACTGTAATATCTGTGCAGCTACTGAAGTGAAGAAATAATTGTATACTTAAGAAACAAAAGTGAATTCATCTAAAGCTACAATGTACCTAGCACGGTGGTCATTATATTACACAGCTGGGTTTGTTAATGTGCTATTTTTCAAAGACTCCAGTGACTGACAAGATGTTTGTTTTTTGGAAGACAGCTGTTTGAGACTGCAGAAAAACACTTGAGATATCTCTGTCTAGTAATTGGGGAAATTTTACAGTCTCACACTTCAAAGGACAACCTGTCAGGTAGTGTCAAGAAAAAGAAGCTGTTTGTTCGAGAAATAATTGCTCTTCAGGACCTGCAGTTCATTATTGGGAAATATCTGAATTTTGTCTTTTGTCACACTCACACAAGGTTCAAAATTAATTGGCTGTTAAGTGGCCTTCTTTGAATTCATCTATTTGTGAAGAATTCAAGAATAAAGACTTGACAAAGAGCTCAGAATGATCAGTCTTCCAGTCACACAAAGCATGTACATATACATATGCTAGTACATTTTGTACATTCGCATGTACTAAAGTTACTGTACATGCATGCACATACACATGTATACCCAGGTATTAGGTGTGCAACTCTATCTTCAGGCATCCTGGGAGAGACACAAATGTTACCACCGACAAGAGCCAAAAAGATAACACTGGTTAACATTCAAATAATGACCACTAGTATTGAACATTCAGTGCATATCATGTTTTGGTCAGGTACTAACCAAAAACACAACATTGTTTTTGAAGGCCCCAGTGGAAGTTCTTAGTTCAATGTCATTGTTAGTCAGTTCCTTGACCGGTCCCACCTATCATGCGGAGGTCCGAACAGGGCCGGATCAGGAGCTGGTGGACTACGCGCTGGCCAACAAGAAGCGAGTCCTGCACATGGTACAGCAGTGGAGCAGGATCGTCGGGGACGCTTTCATCGAGAGCAAGACAATCAAAGCATTCTTGGAGGTACTGTACAGATCTCAAATAATCTCGTGCATTTCTCAATTAAAATGCGTACAAAAGCTGTGCAATTCTTCTTTGATTCACACTCATTTCTCGTGTAAAATGCTTGTGTATGTCGTTGTCAATGAATGTGTAATAGTGTGTGGTTATGTGTTACGTGTGTACATGTATGTGTGGTGGGTTCTTTTGAATTTTTTAAATCAAGCATCAAGGAATGTTTTTACAGCAATGTCTTGACTGTTTCTTGCAGGAATTGTGCTTAGCCGTATCAGAAGACTGTCAGACGTGGCCAGAGCTGAAGGAAGATCTTGCCGCCTTGGAGAAACTGATGAGCAGCATACCCGAGTAAGAACCTCCTTAACGCTTCAACTGTATGACACCATGACCATGGCTTAAACTGCATTGTCTTTGTACTATTTGCATTGTACACGATCTCCGCTTTCTAAAAAATGTATAGTTTTAATAATCTATCATCACTGTAAACCAAGGACAAGTTCCAGAACAGTATGGAGGCCATTTTGCCCAATTGCCTCATTTTACCTCTGATTACTGATCATCAGAAGCAGGGTGTGTTTTCATCCAGTAGCAGAAAGGTTAAAACATTCATCAACTCCTCACAGAATGTCTTCAAATGTGTCTTAGTATACTTGGCATACAGAAACTCTACATAAGGACCAGCAGGCCATTGATATGCCGTCAAACCTGTACAAGTGCCCACCTTGGCATCAGGACCTCCTGGCCATTGCAATCACTTTTTTACTGGTCCCTTATATGATCTTCCTCACCCAATCAGACAAAAATCCTGTCTACTGAGACCATTTTCTTTAAGGCCCTTGATGAGTGGTTACCACAGATCACAAGTTTTACTGTATTCACGGTCGCACGATGTGTTACAATGGTCGCACATGTACCTGCACCGAATGATTGCCGTCCAGATCACATCACTTGTTTGTGAACGCACCCTTTTGTGTTGCTTGTTATGACGTAGGCCGGATGGCGATCTTCCTGTGTTCCTGTCACTCACTCCTTCCTCCATATTGGTGCCTACTATAGGGTGGAGGTATGTTTAGCTGCACATGTACACTTCTCATGCATGTCACTGGCTGCGGGACAGTGTTTCTCTTCTGTGTGAAGTCCCTCGATATGTGTTGCTTTGCATGCGTATGCGATGCCTGCAAATTTTGACTCTAGGAACTCTAAGACCGGGCAAAATCCTGACGGTATGAAAACTGTGTACACACGCGAGCATACGAAAACTGCATACGTCCAATTGTTCCTACATGTAAATTGGCCTACTCTCACGGTAACATATGTTCTTGATGTATGTCAAAGCAGGCCAATCTACATGCAAAACAAATTTGACGTACACAGTGTTTGTGCTCATGTGTGTACACAGGTTTTGTACCATCAAGATTTTACTTTATTCATTTTGACCCAGATGAAATTGCAATGCGTAGTTCAGTGCACTTGTTGAGCACATTGAATGCATACCAAGAAGTGCATGGTCAACATTGCAATGTACGAAGAGTATCTGTCTTGCATTTGCAGAGCATGGCTAATACGTGATCAGCATGTTGTCCTGAATGTTGCATGCACATCCTTGTATGTTATGAATCCAATGCACGAATCACTTGCATGTGCACAAACAAATTCTAGTGGCAACCCTAGCCTAGTGGTTATCCTATGAGACTCAGGACATAGAGGATCTGGGTTCGAATCCTAGCAGGATAGTAGTAGTGTCCTTTACTTGACTCCCTTGTTTCAGATGAAAATTAGTACCAGTTTAGACTGGTGGCTGGTGTCGCCTCTACTTTCTATCATGCCAGTCTCTAGAAACAGTGGTATAAAATGCTCTGTCCCTTACTATAGCCGTAAAAGGGGAATATGAAGCCATTATATATTGTACATGACATTGTATATCATCCCATTTGTTGCAGGGATAATTCCAATGGTGATGCCAAACCTGTGTCAACTCTCAGGAAAGTAAGGGTAAGCATGGGATCTTTGAAATATAGACAGATTCTTTATTGACACAACAAAAAAGTACAGAGACTTTTGTATGGTCTTCTACAACTTAACTAAAGATCTAACAAAAGCTAAATACATGTGTGGATAATGTCATCTTACGTACAGAGTATATGAGTTGCTCTTAAATCTGATTCAACACAAATTTGTTACAATGTTGTCCCAGGCCTAACCTCTGCTTGGAAAGTTTTATTACGGAAATGGAGTTTGTTGTTTTTGTTTGCCACTCCTCAGTCCCGTGCCTCCATCTCCGGAACTCTGCGCCGACTTCCCAAGGAGCTGTCTGAGGAAAAACAAACACGCAGGAGAAGAATAAAACCTTCTGATGAAAGTAGGCATCACACCTGTAGCATGTAGCATGCAAAATATGGACTATTCATAAATCTAACAATTCGGCAGGCTGGTAGGGCTACCCGGTAGTTTGTTAGAGTTCCTAAGGGACCGTCCGTGTTATCAGTGTGCATTACAGTGTGTTATTTGTGTGCATTATTCCACGCAAAGGCGTTTCAGCACCAAGGACAGGGAACATGTGCATTGAGATCAATGAAATACAGTAGTGACAGTTTGGTGACATAGCTGTTAAGTAAATAAAAACACTTCTAGCAGGAGGAAATTTTGTAGAAGGGAAAGGAGGTTTTCATATGATGACAGTAGTTACATTGAAAATCCATCTTTCCAAAAAAGCACTGCAAACATGGACATTAAATGGATGCTTCTTTCTTTGTTGCAGATATTTTTAAGGTGTACTTTGCTGACCACACGTACAGCACCCTTCGCCTGGCCATCTCAGCATCAGCCGAGGAAACAGTACAGAGCACAGCAGAGAAACTCTGTCTGGGCGAGGACCTGGTGTTGTGTGAGGTTAAGTCCACTGGAGGTTAGTTAATGAGTCTAGTTATTGATTATTGATAGTTAGTGAAATTGGTTTTGATTACCATAGTATTAGTTAACATGTCTGGGGGAGGACTTGGTTCTGTGTGAGGTCAAGTCCACTGGTGGTTAGTTAATTAGTTTGGTTATTAACTAGTAATGAGTTTTATTAACTAGTGATAGTTAGTGTAGCTGGGGAGGACCTGGTTTGGCATTAAGTCATTCTGGTTATTCCTTTGTGTTAAGAGCATATCTACCATGTATATAAATAAACGTGTAGCTTGGTTTAGTGTTTGTACGTGTAACACGACTCTAGGAAGACTAGTATGTATAGATATTCTGTACAAACTAATGGAGTTCGATCAAATAAACAAGTGTGCACATTTGTCCCTACAGAAAGAGTTGTGTTGAAGGAGTCAGACGTTTCCGTGACAACGGGGCTCAGTCTCAACGGCAGACTGTTCATCGCGCCCAGGGAACATCTCGACTCGCTGGTGAGTGTTCTACCCAAAATCAATTCTCCTGTAAGACCACACCAATCTGTTTCTTAAGTTTAAAGAACTAATAAACATTAAAACAGGGTCTGAAGGGAAGCTTGTTCCTTTTTTTCATACATTTTCAGACAGTGAATATACATTGCAGTCAGTCAGTGCCTATTTTCATCTTGTCCTCTTATATAACGTAAACTTAAAATGTCTGAGACCCAAGCAAATAAACTGATCCAAGAAGATATGGGGCCATATATCAGCGGAAATACCAGACTTGACAGTTATAGCTAAATTTATACATATTAGTTGCCTTTTGGATACGGTCTTGCCTGTTGATTCCACTTTGTTAACAAAAGACCTGCTTGGAGATCAAGAAATAACAACTGTGCACTTTCCAACATTCCAACAGAGATTTAATGTCTGAAGGAGCCATCCTTGTAACAGTTAACATAATGGGTTTGACCTTCTGAAGGCTTTGTGTCTTTTTGTCAACCTAAGATGTGACATTTGCTGTGACATTTCAGTTATCTATGTTTCAAGCTGTTTGATAGTTGGTAAAGTCCCAGGTTAGGATGTCTTGCCCCAGAGCTGGGCATTGGTTACCTCCGTCTTTGGAGGTCTTGTTTTTGCTGTTTTTGTCTGCTTGCCTGTCTGACTATACACGTAGTTACTTAGATACAGTAGATTCACTAGGAGTGAGGGGGAAATGGTGTAACCACAGACTGGCTAGGAAGTTGAATTGGAGGTGAAAATGGTCTCCCTACAGGCTGGGAGGAAGTGACAGTGGAGTATGTACAGATCAGTGAGAAATTCATAATCCACTTAACACATATTTTCCCCCCTCAGTTAGATCTAGAGGGATCCTGGGCCCTACTAGGGTTTGGGTTGGCATTATGAAGGGCATCCAGCCGTAAAAAATCTTGCTTCAAAAAAAGACTTGTACTTAATGCAAACACATCTAACCCTCAGTTTTGGGGAGAAAAAGACGTTAAACTGGATAGAGACAGAGAGAGATTCGAGTGAAGGTGACTTCACAAATGTGACTGTCTATGTATGCTCTGCTTAACTCTGTGACAGTCCTGACTTTTCTGCCTAACTCTGTCACCCAGACGCCACTGCCGGAGCAGGAGGGTCCCAAACAGAGCACGTGTGCCACCATCGAGCTGATGAGCTCCAGAGAGATGGCCTACCAGATGACTCTGTACGACTGGGAACTCTTCAACTGTGTACATGAAGTAAGGAGGGTTTATACAGTACAGAATGATCTTGAATAATTCCCCTCACGTTTTACACATGATTTTAATTTATATGTTTCTTGTGCACATAAGTTGCATTTAAACCATGATTGAAATAGGCTATCTAATGTTTCTACACAAATTATACTGAAGGGTTCGACCTCCTTGTTGGAGGCAGTGGCTAATAAATAGTGGTTGTACAGTAACATGATGTTTAAGTTAAAACACCCCTATCTTGATAGACTTGTGGAATAGGTCATTGATTTTGTTGGCTTTTGTGGGTGTGTGCTTGAATGTGTGTTTTACTTTCCCCCGCCACAGAACGAACTCATCTACCACATTTTCGGGCGGCACAAGTTCGGGAAGATCACGTCGAACCTTGACCTTCTGCTGCGCCGTTTCAACGAGGTCCAGTTCTGGGTGGTGACGGAGATGTGCCTTACGCCGCAGGTCGGCAAGAGGGTGCAGCTACTCAGGAAGTTCATCAAGATAGCTGCATAGTAAGTATACAGTCCGGCGTAGAAGAGCCACCTGGTGATTTGTAGGCAAAGTGCATCTAGGTTTAATAGATAAGAGTTGTGTAGAGTCTTACTGATGCATTAGTCCATGGGACAGGTTCGTAATCCAGAATAATGTAGAAGTGCCATCTAGTGACTTGTATGCAGAGGACAAGAGATTATACATTTATTTGGACAAGTGGATGTGATAATTATTGGCAGCCCCTTGCAAAGGCAACTGTGATTGGTCCATTATCAGAAAATTTTTGGAGCAATCATGTTTTTTTTTGGTAACTTTGCATAATAATGAGTTTCAGTGAATTTGAATGCCTTTAGGATTTTAAGTACACTAGATAGATACAGTAGACGTTTGTCAGTAATTTCAAACTTTTAATTTCAAACCTTGTCTGTCCTGTGTTTATCCTTCAGCTGTAAGGAGTACCAGAACCTGAACGCTTTCTTCGCTATCATCATGGGACTGGGCAACATCGCAGTCAGTCGGCTCTCACAAACTTGGGAGGTACGAAAGCATCTTTTTTTCATGAGTGAATCCCAGCTGTTGTCGTTCTTCTGATATGCATGCTACAGTTTTCACTTTTGGGAAGGGTCGCAGTTCTTACATGTAGGACAGGACACTAAGCCGTGTAGGTCCACGGTTTCTTGTGCTTTTCAAAAAGAGCTACTGCAACAATACAGTACTGTTCAATACTGTAAATACTATGCATAGCGTCTGTCTTCTGTCTAAGACTGTCTCTAAAAGCCTAGTCTCACTGTTGTTTTAAAATCTCTTGTCTTATCTTACAGAGACTGCCCAATAAGTTCAAAAGAATGTTTGCTGAGTTTGAGAGCTTCATGGTAAGTTAAATGGAATTGACCCATTTGCCAAAGATTTCATATAAAAAATGTAGTCTTCTACTACTGCTACTTCTGCTTCTTGTCTTCTCCTTGACTGAGTTGTATTGATTTTGAAATGGAATGGCTGTGAATGTCTGTCATCAGTTGTTTTTAATCTCACTTGATTTTTTTTTTTTTTTTTGTTACAGGATCCGTCCAGAAACCACCGAGTGTACAGACTAGCAATGAGCAAACTGCAGCCACCGATCATCCCATTTATACCACTTCTCATGAAAGGTGGGCTTGTTTGTTGGTTTTGGGTCTCTATTTAGAGTAGAAAAGCACATCATGTATTAGCCAGTCTATCTGGAGTCCTTATAATCAATTATTTTATACAATATAGATAAAATGCAATGACAATTTGAAACAACCAAGGACATGGTGGTATATATAGGATTGTACGTAATGGTCTGCTGGTGAGTGTCTTGCTTTTCCGAATGTTTGTTTGTTGTTTGTTTGTTTGTTATCCATTTATCGTCGTTTATAATCAATGTTATATTACATGTATTTCCTTTAAGCTAAATTAATGAGATTATCATCAACGTATTAAACAACATTTACATTGTACCTTACAGATATGACTTTCACCCACGAAGGCAATAAGACATACTATGACGGCCTGGTCAACTTTGAAAAGATGGTGAGTATGGTGGCAAGTCAAAAAATGTTGTTGCAGAGTAAAGAGACTTTTTTACATAACCAACAGGTTTGTTCAGCCGATGTAAAAAGAGTCTCTTCATTGAGTGACTTACAAATGTACCAATGTACGGAAATGGTGTTGTAGATTTATTTATAAGATTTTATTCTTTTGTAAATATGAAGACTGAAGTAAAATTATGATGTCCTTTTTTCAGCACATGATTTCCTCAACTATACGGACTATCAGACACTGTGGGAGTGAGCCTTTCAGTAAGTAGAACACAATCTTATTATTACAAGTTGATGAATCTAACTATGCAAATATAAGTTTCATCATTCACTTTCCTGTTGTCACTTAACTATAATCTGAAGATCCACAAATTCTTGGCTTGTCTTCACAAATTAAGTTGTTAGTTAAACACATGCCTGGCAGGGAATGAATGAATGACAACGCTCAAGGTCATCCAAGATGGATGACTTCCTATTGCTTAATCACTGCAGAGACTGTGATGTCACCAGCAGACAAAGAATAGGGCTTCATTAGCGTAACCTTTCAAGACTCCAAATTACGGTGTTGTGGCCTCCGATTGGTTTCCGCACATGTGCACACATGAGGGCTGAGGTCTAGTTCTAGGGACGGATCCTAGAAACTGTAAATACATGTGTGCCTGCAATGCCTTGGAAAATTAAATCAATGTTGTGTATCTTATATTTTTCCTGAAAAAAAAATGGGTTTGGGATTCTCTTTTTGGTTTTAAGTCACACTCACTATCCAAGCTTAGAGTATACTGCTGCAGGTGTCCCTGACACAAGGGTAGGCAGCAGTCGGCTAGACTTCACACCACACCTCCAGGCAGCCTATACAGCATGTTTACACCAGCAAGGCTACAATTCTCTGATGTCCTTCTTGATACACTCCAACAATGTAAAACTGAAATGTGGAAAAAAAACTTCAAAACATCCGTTAGACACTTTTTGTTCGAAGGCTGACAACAGCATTGCAAATTCAAGGCCATCACCTGTATTTAGTGATTAACAGATAATCAAGAAAGATTTAATTAAAAACCTTGAGCTTGATTCCTTTTTGTTCAGAGCTTGACCACGGAATTACCCAATGGTCTATTGCGTTAAATTCAAGGCTGTTGCCCGCATGTGTAGATTGAGTGAGAATACAGGATTACTGCATGTAGGAAGTAGCCAAGGCCCTGGAGTTTAACTCTTACACAATGTAGATTAAAATACTTATCCAATGTACTAATATGTAGTTGTCAACCTCGGACTCATGAACAATATCACCCACTCTTCTACCTGGAGTCCATCTTTCTGTCATTTGACTGCATTTTGCTGCTTGTGATGGACAAACTATTTGTCTGTGATGTTGGAGGGACAAAAATCAATATGTAAAGACAGGGAAATCCCCTAATCCACATTTTAGAGGTCAAGATTTTAAAATGTTCCCAGGGGAATATGCTGTAGCATCAAACATGATGACAAAAAAATGTGTAAGCAAGAAAAATACACCATTCACTGGATTTTTTGACTGAAACATGATTTTGACAGTCAACAGTATCCAATCTCATTAAATTGATGCTTTAAGAGAGTGTAACAAATGATGAGTGTTTTCAATCATTAATTATAATGATCATAATTTCAACTGTCAGTCTGTCACCAGCACTTCTTTGTGGGAAGCGAGGCCTCAAAGTCTTCACACCATAAATCATACATGTATGTCATGTACCTGTCTTCTTTCCAGATTTCGACCCCCCACCTGTCGTGAAGAACATCCAAGAAGTCCGGAACTATGTCAGGTGAGGGGCGTTTGAGTCAATGTGTGTGTGTATGTGTGCAAGAGTGTGTGTGTGTGTGTGTGTGTGTGTGTGTGTGTGTGTGTGTGTGTGTGTGTGTGTGTACATGTGCATGAGTGTGTGTACATGACAGAGAATGTGTGTGGATCTGACCAACATTTGAAAAGCAGTTAGCAACTTAATTTTGTGAACCTGCAACATCATATGGTAGCAGTTAGACTTAGGGCCTAACGTATCGTCCGACACATGAGGCAATCAGAGATGCACAGATGTTAACAGTAGACGGACATACATGTAACATGCCTGCTTTGTAGTCTGATGTTTCAGATGATCTAACACAGTGAGAAAGACCAGTGATTTGAAAAGGTTCTATAGATGTCCTTAAATTGTTTTCTTATCTTGCTCTTAACTTCTGTCTTAAGCAGCCACAATATTGTGAATGCTGTCAGATAAGACATAACATAAAAGAAGGGTGATCTTTGAAGACATGACAGCTGTCCTTGCATTGTTCATTATCTGCTAAGGACGCAAAACTGTTTGACGCACAAATGAGTCACTGAAGATGCCTATGTAATGAATGTGAATTTCCCATTGTGTAATTATTGCACAATATAGATGCAAGCTGTGCCGTCAGAAAAGTCCTTGTGGCTTTGTTTGTATGAAGTAACCGGTAAACTGCCTCTAGGCATAACATATTGTGTACTTTGGTAATCACAGGCTGCAAAAGACCAGACTGTAAGGTTTGATCTACTCTCACTTGGATGGACCCCCATTCTTATTGACTAGTGTGGTAAAGACAGCCAATACAATTTCAGATCGGCAAAGAAAAAATTCTTTTGCTATTGACATTTACCACCATTTCTTAGCACATAAGTATTTGAGATAGCCCCAAAACAACCAACATGAGACCTCACCAAACCGACTTTTCCTAACCAAAGCTTGGCGTTTCTGAAGGGTTCAAAATAGATAGGGATTCAAACCCAGGACCTTTAGATTCTGAGTCAACCAGCCTTACTACAAGGCCACTAGCCTGCATATCAGACGTTCCACCCACCACACCTGCCCCCCTCCTGTCACGTCCCGCCCTGTTTTATCCAACCCACCATTACCCCTTTGTCTCTCCCCTCTGTTAGAGGTTTGACCATTTATCCACAGATCCGTCAGCTTGGGACACTTTCCCTTTGTATCAGTAGGCTGTTATTAGGATGTGTGGTCTACCATGACTGTCGTCCGCTTTGTATGTCATAACACCAGCTGCCAATTCAACGCTTAAAACAACAACAAAGATGTGATAGACAGGTGTATTGTGAGAGAAGACCTATATTGAAGATATTTGCCCCATTGGCCAAAGGTTAGGTCACCATATAGAAAGAGTTGACAAATACTTGTAAATGTAGGAGGAGAGTACATGCAGGAGAGTGTGAATATACAAATTGCTGCTTCTGTAAATGTTATAATTATGATAGAAATATAAAATAGATGAACTTTTGTCTAACTCAAAAACCCATAAAGCAAATTGTCTTAAGATTTTTTTCATGAAACTTTCATGGTCACTTCTGTATCGTGAACCATGTAATACCATTATGAAATCATTTTTTCTTTCACAACCCCCCTGCAATTGTCGCCATGCACTGTGAAGATTACATTCCATGAAGATATCCTTTTTCCACAGGCCATGAAATTTTGCTACCCTTAAGACAAAGTTTATTACAGTTGAGTGTGCAGTTCAGTAGTGTATGGAGTGTGCAAGGAGTAAGAAGGAAAGAAACGAAAATTGCTGTACGCATGCAGGCACAAACACACGGGCCACCTCAGTTTTAGATTTCTGCATGGTTACACCTGTCTGTCACAAGCCCCGCCCACTCACCTGCAGGACAGGTAGGAACACTTCTGTGGGACTTCCCCCTCAGGCAGAACGTCCAACTGCTGCTGTTTACAACAATTCACAATAGTACATGTGTGTACCACAGTCACGTGTAGCGTCAACAGGCTGTAGGGTACTCAAACAAAACTTGAAAAGTTCTTTGCATAACAGTTACAGCAGGTACAACATATGGTACATGTATATGTAACTTATACATACCGGTACATTGCATATGGAAAATGAACTATTTCCAATATCAAACAATTCTATGAGACTTTTTCTTATCCTACTTTTGTAAATAACAGACAGGAGAAGATACCAGAGTTCTGTTGTACATTGTACCAAACAAGTTTCTCTTTCTTGTGAATATTTCGGGAGCCTGTCTGGTACCATCCTCAGGGGAGCATGTTGGCAGAACATGCTGCACATGCATGCAGGAAACCTGGATTTTTCATGGTTTTCATTAGATGTTTCGTCATCGTGGAATCATAATTTTGTTGGTTGCAGACGATATCCTTCCCGACACAGCATTTGACAGCCACAGAAGGGATGTTAATACTAAATATGCTAATATGACATTGAACGATATGTTCTGCCAAAGTGCTGACCTCCAGTACCCTGATGAAACTAATTTATGGACACTCCGTCCTGTGTCAGACTTCCAATGACCTGTAGTGACCCTTCACTAGGGTGTATTATGTCAGAAGAATTATTCACACTCCCTGACAATTTCACATTACATAATCCATAGCCTCCGTAGCAGGCTTATGGAACTGGGGTTTGGTGGTCTTCGGCTGTTTTCTGATTAGCCCAGTTCTAAAAAACCGGAGGTAATTCAACCAGGCCAGCCATGCTGTGTATGTGCAATCAGAAAATAGCACATAAAATCTCCCGAAGACCCTGAAGACCCCCAAAACCCCCAGTTTTTGGCATCCTATGGAGGCTAGTTAATCCAATCTACACCTTCCTACTGGCTCTGAGGTATTGTCTACAGGTGTCTTCAGATCCTATTGTAAACACTTGACGCTTTTGAGGTTAGAAGAGGAAAAAGTGAAGACAGAGGACAGGGAGGAAAAATCCACCTGTACTTACTCCTCAAAAGTCAACCCTGCACCACCTTTTCAAGCCAACCCCCTGGCCATTATTATTTCCCATTGTCAAAAAAAAAATGAGATTCTGGTCTGTACATGATTGTAATGTAAGTGGCCACCTGTGACTATTTCTTAATGTCCCGCTATAGACAGGTCTGGCAGTAGTTCTTTATGAAGGAAGAAGGTGGTTCACTTCAACTTGTTGTTTGGATTCACTTCAGTTCATAGACATACAAACAAGTGTGCTGGTCGAGAGTCAGGTAATACCGGATTAACCTTAATCTGCAGCCTTAAACCCACATGTGTCAGGTGTGGGTGTTAAAACATGCATGGGTCATGCACCTGAACTGTACAATAAGGGATGGAAAATGTGTTAGACTTAGAGTGAGTGAATGTTTCAGTGTGTGTGTGTGTCTGTCTGTCTGAGTGAGTGAGTGAGTGAATGTGTGAGTGAGTGAGTGAGTGAGTGAATGAATGTGTGAGTGAGTGAGTGAGTGAGTGAGTGAGTGAGTGAGTGAGTGAGTAAGTGAGTGAGTGAGTGAGTGAGTGAGTGAGTGAGTGAGTGAGTGAGTGAGTGAGTGAGTGAGTGAGTGAGTGTGGGGGCAATTTATAACTATGTTATGGGTGATTCCATCTATAGATGAAATACACACTTTCCTATGCCTAGCCTCAATTATATCTGCTGTATGCTGAGAAAACATGATTGTACTCGCACACTGAATGTCACTAGACTTCCTGTTTCAAAGCTCTTTGACAACAGTATCTTTTCCTACCCCTCCAGGAGTCTGAATGTTATTGACAACCAGCGGACGTTGACACAACTCTCACACAAGCTGGAGCCAAGAAGATCGTAGAGCATCAGTGATGACACAGCTGCAATAGATGATGGGCAAGCACCACAGTATGGCTAGCCAGACATCATCACACTTCAGGCAGACCTTCCACTGGTCAGGCCCCTAGAAGCTTGGTGACCAACACCTCTAAGTTAGGAGAATTGGGAACATCTTACCTTAGTTCTGTTAATTTATGCATCAGGAGGCCATTTTCGGCTATGTGTGACAGAGCTAGGCTTGTCACAGTGAAATATCTCTGAAGCAGTGGCAGATCATCCAGCCAGTTTTAACAGGTTTTGCCGAGGATGTGGATCATTACAACTTTGTTTGCTGGCAGAAAGTGTACCCCAAACTTTAATCTCCAAAGAGTTGTTTTAGGATCCGGGGAAGAATGAATAAGGTACAAGACTAGAAAAACATACGAAATGTTGCAAAAACATTTGTAAAGCACTAAAACTGGACTGGATCCAAACATCTATCTGCTTGGATTTTGTACCAAACTGACATTTTACTGGCATACTCTGATTTGGATGGAAGGCCTAGAAACGTGACATGTTGTATTTCAAAAATTGACAAAGCAGCCCTTTCTGGGTAATTGAAAAGAAGAAAATGATGGAAAACCATGTGCCATATTGTAAAGACTGGATATTATTTATTGTTTATTTTGTACAAATCTCAAAGAGTATTAAAGGGATAAACAGTGATGTTGAAGTGTTTCAGTTGGAATTGTTGTGAACTTTGTTGAACTCTATTTTATCTTAAGCTACATGGAAAAATGTTCTTCATGTATCCAAGTTGTATAGTTTGCTTCTGTGATGTCAAACTGCTGTTAAGCACACTTGCTGTCTTTGGAATTTCTTTTGGACCATCAGAATCACAGGTTTGATATGCCAAAGTTTTGGTATTGCTCCAGATGTGTACATACAGAGGCATTTTCCATTTTGTTTGATTCCGTAACATCTCAACAAGATGAAGTCCTTCAAGTTTGTATCACTTCAACGTTAGCATCATAGAGAGAAATTGCCAAAGTACATGTAGCATTTTTGAGCTTCTGTACTGGTATCACCTGGCCAATGTAGCCACTTTTGGTGGACCCTAAGTAATACATTATGTTCCCATGGACCCAAGCATTAAGAATACTGTCTATAGTCACCATCTTTCTACTATGGCCATTTCCTTGAAATCTATATAATGTCCTTGCTTCAAGTCTCTTAAGTGATCAGTTTGGAGAGATTTGAATTAAGAATTTCCATTTAAAATTAATGTCATCACCACAGTACCTCCTTTTACATTTTACAAGGATGATTTTTTTTTTTCAATATAATAATTAAAAAGATTGTCACAATTGTCCTTGTGCCAAAGGAGAAAACTCTTTGTTTCTTCAGCATGTTAACTAACATTCATTCATCCAGTTACACACAAAATATGACATTAAGAAAACTGTAAAACTTTCCAGCTCTAAGTACAATACAGTGAACCAATTTCTCTTCACTCATATCTGATAAAATCCCTCAAATATGTACAGATATCTAGACACAGTGAAAACTGTAAAGAAAAAAGGAAAATGCTCTGGTGCTAAAGAAATGTACATAGGAATATCTTCACAAACTTTTAAGTGTGAAATCCTACTGATCAGTGTTAAAGTCATTGTGAAAGTCAGACAGGAAAACTTGCAGTCATGTTTTTACTGAATCATTCTTATGAAGTTTTGTACAGTGGCATGACGAACATGTATGTGGACTTTCTTAGATTTGTAAACTTGTAAAGTTAACCCTTGTGAGTACTCGATTATGTATTATTTATATGTGCTTACCGTTTGTTTGAAAATGACGACTTCATTTGTGAATAATGAAAGTGTATGTGCCATAAAGTGTATTTGTTCTTGTACAGACATATTGCTTGTATGAAAATAAAGATAAATGAGTGAACGCCTTTCGTTTTGTGTTGTTTTGTGCCTCCATTTAATCATACTCATAGATAACTCAAACCAGGCTGTAAGTTTAGACTGCTCTCCAAAGGAAAGGCCTTAATTAGTCATTTGTGTGCCTCTTTTCACACACAGAACCTTATCGTCCCATCCATGAGGAATTGTGTCTTAACCATAGCTATATATAGGTATTCATTTTCACCTGAGTCGGTGAGAAAATGAGTGTAATGTGCGTTCACTACAAAGAACATAACACTAGTACTGATGCCTGACAAGGATTTGAACCCAGAACCTTAACTTCTTAAGATTCTCGATCTTAAGTCAACAACAATCCCCAACAACCCCCCAATCTCCGTCCTCTGCTTGGTTTTATTCATGCGGCATGTTCCCTTACTACTTTCTTACTTCACAGTTGATGATGTTTTGTTTTTGTTTACGAGCGTCCTTCACTAAAAAAAAAAGGCGAAAATAATAGAGCGTTGGGCTGTCACAAGGTGTTTTCATTGTGATGGTCCCGAAGGACTGCGCCAAACTTTCCCACGACGCAGAGGAAAAATGGAGGCTTTGTTTTGCGCGATTTGCCCCTGGCAAAATGCCGTAAATCTGGAAGAAAAAATGATGGGGATACGGCCCAGGGGCGGCCCAGGGGCCAACTTCAATTTGCGAAACACTCATTTCTGCCAACTGAACTGACAGTGTAAACAATTATTCTTTACCCCAAACGCCCGTTTCCGAGAAATAGTTTGGCACCAAGGTCCACTGTATTGTTGTTTGCATTCTGAATCACCTGTTAGTTGTAAAGTTTTAAAGTTGACACTAGCAGACATTCTACTTGCAAAGACCGCCTTTTTTCTGAAAGGATTTTAATGATGAAATTTTCAGACACAAACACTAATGGGGGTGGGTCAAGGTAAGAGTTTTGTTCCGTTCCGCACTTTAGATCGAATAACACCACACATGTCGTTTATTGAAAGCTATAGAAACACTGATAAAAACACCGTTTCACAAAATAGCATGAAAGTTTGATAATGTGGTAGCCTTGTAGAAATTGACAGTTCGCAGGACACATGCACACTCAACCAATACTATTGGTAGAACGCATGATCAGAGTGAGGGAGAGAGAGACCTACACATACTAGTACACAAAGACACGCACACCGACACACGCACATGCACACACACTCGCTCACGCTCACATAATAAGAAAAAGGGATGAGATGAGACCAACTTCCCATGAAGGCACGCGACCCTTGGCTCCTCACACACCTGCGCACCGCGGGGGGTCTACAGTAGGCAGGTGAGAACCTGTAATTGTCGGCAGGGGTACCGTCTCGTCTTAATCAAACCCGACAGTAGGAAACGTAACTAGCGACGGTAGTTCCGGTTAAACTTTCACTCTATATAACTATATAACAGTCTTGCATCTTTCTCGGGTATTGCGTAAACCGCATTTGACTATAAACTAGGTCATAGATCGTAAGTTAAGTCTCCCTTTCTACACACTGCAGTCGTGCAAGAAGGGCGATCTAACCAAACATGTGGGACATTGCCATTGAAAACTCTATAACTACTCACAAACAACATTGTCTGAAGAAAACTTATCGCTGCCTATTTTCCAGCACGGTAAACAGGCGGCGCCTCACGGGTATTATCGTGTTAAACAAACGGTGGTTAGAATCATCATTTTAAGCAATGGAGGACAGGGACGCGGTACGAGCTGCAGAGTCCGCGATTTTCTATACTTTTGGAGCGTGGAGGGGTGAAAAACGATGAAACATTACATTCAGTTTTCCTAACATTTTTCGTTTGTATTTTTGTACCATGTGCATTGTCTATCGGTTTTTGGAGTTGGGAGAAGACTTTGTGCAAAACAATTAACATCAACGTCTTGTCTGTTCACCTGAAGTATTATACAAGAGTTACATAGAAGTACATACTAGAGTTCATAGAGGTCAGTCTCTCAGCACCTCCTTCTCTAAAAGGTAGCAATTTACTTTGTTACTTCTGCTGCTACAACTCATTTGTCACCACTTGTGTGTGATAATTGTCACTTACAATCACACCGCGCACTCTTTAAGACACTGTCCACCATTAAGTCTCAATAACAGAAGTGTTTTTAAGAAGAGAAGATTCCATATAGCGACTTAGTCCGAACAAACAGAGAATTTTGTTATACCGGGTACTAAAATCTAGCCATTGGAATTGTCTGTCAAACGTTTCCTACATTGTCTTTTCTTTCCAAATGCGATAGGATCGTTACCGGTAGAATCGCTAATTGTACCAGGCCGGAGTTAGTCTGATGATTTCTGATACATACTGATATACATATTTTTTTATGCGCGCTTGAGTTTGTGTGTATGTGGATGGTCCTTATGGTTATGATAAATTTATATTCTTCGCACTGCACTTTCTATCAGTTCATGATTACTAGTAGTGACAAGCTAAGATAAGACACCTTTCATACATAAAACCTTTTCAGACTTCAGGCATTTCTCTAATTTGATGCGTCCTTCTTAACCTATATGTGTAAGCCTTTAATTATATGAATGTATTCACACATACACAGGATCGCTGTATTGTATTGTTATCTTGTACCTTCCGTGCACTGGGTTATAATTATACATATTTGCCCCTCATTATATTGTTGTCTTGGCTTCAAGATGGCACAAACAAAGAACGGTCAGTGTAGGGAAACTAAATGAAGTGGTGTTTAAGTATAGGTTTTAAGTCAACCAGTTTAGAACGGAGGTCCGACTCGTAGCAAAATGACAGGTTACTGTAATTACCGAGCCGCATGTGGTCCGTAGGTGTCGACTAGTCAGGTCTGGTCGTGTTTACGATCTGTTGTCGACCAATGGCCACACTCACTCACTCACTCACTCACTCACTCAAACATTGACAGACAGACTGACTGACAAACAGACAGGCAGACACGAATAAACATTTACACACAGACACATAGAGAGAGAGAAGCACACAGGCACACACACAGAGAGGGACAGAGAGAGAGAAAGAGAGAGAAAGAGAGAGGGACAGATACAGAGAGAGAGAGACACACACACGCACACACACACACACACACACACACACACACACACAACACACAGACACACACACACAGACAGACACACACACACACAGGGAGACACAGACATTGCAGTTAAGTTTTAAACCTTCTCTTATTGTGTCATGTAGAAGCCATGAACTGACAGCCCCCTTAATTAAACCACTCCCAGTGTGTGAGATTTGTTTTTCTTCTCTTAAGATGTCAGACAACTTGCTGCATTGTGACCTGAGTGACAGTAAAACAAAGGCAGTTTGATGGATCAGCACAGTGTGCTATTTGTGAGGCTGATAGCATCACAGCAATTATGTCATTAACTACCCTGTGTTCTATTCTTTGGTTTTCGCGGTTTTTGTCACAACATCTTTGGGAAAGTGATTCGCTTTGAAGTTTCTTTCACATAGTCTATACAATACATCAGGTCGTGCATTTGGCAAAACTTGGAAAGAGAAAAATTACATTCTGTGAACAATAGAGAATGATTGGCCTGTTGTCAGCTGCCATTTGAAGCGACAGTCCAGAATTATGTAGTAAGAAGGTGTGAAACACATAATGATCGGTGTATATCAATTATGTGATCAGGATGAGAACCACACTTCCACACAAAACGAAAGAGACTATTCAGATACGCCATCTTGATCTAAAGGCCATTGGTAAGTTTGTGAGTTTGTGAGTGAGATGGGTAACTACGGTATCATCGAAGCAACCTTTAAGACGTAAGACAGCAGAAGGAACATTTAAGACGTTAGACACTATGACGTAAGACACATTTCATAAGACATAAGACAGCAGAAGGAATCCTTAAGGACATGATAAGTACAAGTTGTGGGTTATTCGTATCACCGAAAAACATCAATCTTTAAAACGTAAGACAGCTTTCTTAAGATGTGAGGCAGCTTTCAAGAGTCTTTCAAGGAATTGATTGATGAATACAAATTGTGCAGTACTTATCCCGGCATGCGGTTCCTCATTAAAAGCTGTGATCGTGATTATAGCTTTTGTTAATTTGAAGCGTGGAAGTTACCATGATATGTGATTGGCAAAAGTTAAAATTTGGGAAATGAAGAACTAACTTTTTAAACGGAGCGCTATTTCGTTGTTCAATTCAAAAGGCAAATGGCTCTTCATCGTAATCTTTCTTAGAGAAAATTAAACATGTCCTTTCATTTCTTTCTACACATCCAACCCTACACTTAATTAGAACTACTAGTACTTGGGGAAAGTCTTGGTGCACTGAAGGAAGAAATTTTGAACAATGAGACTATCAGAAACAAACCGACTGGGAATAATCCATCTGTAGAGAAGTGGTGCTAATGATCGTGAGAAGGGTGTCTACTTGTGGGGTCATTATATCGGCATGGGGTGCATGACAAAGTTAGACAATTCGCCTTTTAAATCTGAAACGAACATGAAAGAAAGCAACTGTTGACGTTACAAAAAAAGAAAGCGCTCTTATGGAGATCCTTCAAGATAGTGGAGTGGGGTCTTAAAGAACTCAGATGTGTAAGAGTAATGATCACCTGTAATGAGGTAAACAAGGAGTCTTTTAAGTCGAGATAAATTGCTTTGATAACGATCAAACATGTAGTTTGAAGACGCGTGAAAGAATATAAACAACTTAAGACATCCAAAGCTATTTCAGTCTTTTGTCCATGTTCTGACTATTCCTCTAATGTAATATGTTGAATCAACCTTATCCCATATAGCATGCTGACAATGTAAGTGTGAGATCGTGAAAATGCATGATTGAAAAGTCGGCTGTGTACGGCAATCAGTCAGCTATTTTGTAGTATCGTTTGCAGCAACTTGTAAAGGAACAGCTGCACATCTACAAAAAAGACTGTAATTTTGATAAAGCTCAAAATGCCAGACATGCCCAAGTACTCTAAACACTACAATAACAAAACGGCTTCTTCAAATTCTTCTCGTTGGAATTTCTACATCTGAAATTCAAACTATTCAGGTCAAATTTTGTTCCAATTGCCGGACTGTTTGAAAGGTTCCGGCACTGAAGGCAAGTGTCCGTCGTCAACCAAGACAGTTTTCCGGTGTAATCTTCGCCCAAGGGAGGATCCACAGATAAGGATCTTTCTGAGATGTAAGAATTGACCAAGAGGCGGAGAAACCGTTTGTAGTGAAACTTAAAGACGTGGGAATTTTTCTTTTTTTTCTGGAAGAATGTTGCCATGGCATGATTACTGAGCGTAGTTATGGTAGTGAGGAAAACATGTGAGTAAACCATCGTTAAAGAAATGAAGATTATATCAGAAAAAAATGTGAACTAATGTGACAAAATGGTTAATATAACGCACACAGTACAGCGGTAATAGGTTTACAAGCGTAAAGAAGTGTAAAGAAGCATCATTGATGGGTACAACTGTTACAGAAGTTTGAATCTTTATGATAACATTTGTGTATTGATAGATGGTACTGTACTACAATCTCTAAGTACATGGCAGCACTAAGTGGCCCTGGATTACATACTGTGTCTACATAAACACAGCCAATGAGGCGATTGTGCACTTATCTGTGGTAAACTTAAAACAGAAACGAAAACAAATTTTGATGGAATCTCGGGAATTGCGGTCAGAATGGATTCTTGATCTCATTCCCACTCTTACATATACTGTTTGCAACGCAGCACCAAGGACGCTGAAGATGTGTGGAAACCCTACTCTCTAAGCAGAGGTTTGGGCTTTGGCTTATTTTTGGCGTGTTTTTTAGTTTTTTTTTCGGGCTTTCTTTTTTGCACTGGTATCTTTTTTGTGCCAGTCCAAAAAAATACCAGTACAAAAAAAAGCCCGATAAAAACGCCGAAAACGCGCCCAAAATAAGCCAAAGCCCAAACCTCTCCTTGGACAGTATATGGCAATGCTGCATTGTATATCCTGGGAATCACAAAAGCTCAAAAGCAATACTACACTCTACTGAATGATAATGAACAACCACTATAGAATACAGTGTAAAATAACCTTTATAACGCAGCCAGGATTGTTATTGTTGTTAGGTAAGATATGTCCTTTTAAATTTGCCGCCTTACATGATGATACAAAAGGCACAAGTCAGGTTGCCATTGCTGACAGTGCAATACTTGTGGGTTGTGGTGCTTCAGTGATTTGTAGTCTATGGGAGTTCTCAACTAGCCTGAGTGTCAGCCTTGTTAGCTTTCGTCCGCTACCCAAGGTCCGCTCCCCGCCAAGCGGACCTTGGGTAGCGGACGAAAGCTAACAAGGCTGACACTCAGGCTAGTTCTCAACCCCCGTCAACCGCTTCCTAATAGCTTACGGAAAGGCTTTAAGGTGACTGAGCTCGAGGCGTTTAAAGAACCCACCACGCCTTTCAGCGGATATATCCTCGCCCCCATAAAGACAGAACATCTGGATTCACGAATACGAAACGGCGTGGTCACGTCACAGGTTTTTGACGTCGGAGGATTTTTCGGCTGTGACATAAGTAACCGCCGAAAGGTTTTCCATTACAAGACAGCTGACTTTTGTATGGCACATGCAAGGCTATTGCAAGAATGCCCTCAGTTTGCGAACGTACATACGACGACCTAGCTACGACAAACATTACTGGGCCATTAGATGTGTTTTGTTGCGGTAAAGGTATTACTTGATATATGATATTAAGATAGACATGATGATTAGACTAAACATATTGTCATCGTTTGACAAATGCCTCCACCCTCCAGAAAGTAGAAAACAAATGCCCATCTTTATTTAAACAAATAGCCTCTACCAGGCTTGGGGAGGCGGCTGGAAAGAGTAGAAATCGGCCAAATAGAGTGATAAGCATGCAAAGGGAGCCTGGTAGAGGCTATAAACAAAGGCAATGGACTATAAATTATAGGATTGTCTTCGGAGATTACGGGAGTGGTGATTTATCTATAGACCCTCCTCATGATTTAATTATACAGGACTCAGACGACAGAAAGATAATCCTGTGGATTTAGAGCCACACCTGGATCTTAACGGTCGGGAGAAGCCCCGCCAGCTCTGTTTTATTTTGTTAACCTTCAAGTAGATACATGGGAAAGGTTGCGTCAGACCCACAACCAAGCCCAACCGTTACATCTGCTTGGGCGTGAAGAATGCTATGCTCACTAGTGGTGAGCGTTTACGTCCTGGTTTTGCCTAACATAGGATATAGCGCATGTATATAAGAGCATGAATACAGTCACACACAGACACAAACACACGCACACTCTGCGTCTCTCTCACACACACATACACTCACTCACATCTCACCTTTCAGACGTTCTGGTCACATAAACTCAGCTTCCTGTGGTAGCCATGCATTAATACGTACCTACCAGCCTTTTCATGTAAATTCTATAACTACAGCTGTTTTTGGTACACTTTGACCTATTTCAGGTCGATACCAAGAGAATAGCAAGAGGGGCGTGCCACCTCAGATAAGCCAATGCCAGGGCAATTTCTTGAAAAAAATCCATTGTTTTTGCAAAAACACTGACTCAAAACCCTACATTGTAGCATCTACCATCAAAATGCCAAAAGTTCACTGAATCCCCCCCCCCCCCCAAAAGGGTTTTTAGGTAATTTTGAATTTGATTCTAATTTTGCGCACAAGTGGCAATCTCATCATGCAACAGGCACACACGCACACACATATATGTACACACACACTTAACAGAACAGGGACCAGTAATCTTCAGAGTAACCGCTTTATTAAAAACCAACCTGAACCCAGTAAACTACAAACTTAAACGTTCCTGTTTGTATTCAATACGTGCATAGATTCCAGAATTTCCATAACAACTTTTTCTAAACAACGTACAAGATTGTCATCATTCATCCATTAGTTCTTACAAACGGTAGTATGGTACATTATCAAAACCACCATTCCAGAAGAACGGGGCACTGAAAGAAAGGAAAATCGCAGACTTAAAGATTTAGTACGTGTTCAAATCATTTATAACGCATTGTTCCCATGTGGATGCATGTACTATCAACAACTAATTTTTTAGTCGCTAACAACATGTTGGCTTGTGTCAAAACTTCGTACAGTTGGCACAATCAGAATCCCAGCTGCGTTTATACATAGTTGCCGCTGTTTACAAGATACTTATTTACAAGTATTCTGTGTCACATTCAGCGCAAATGTAACGCTAAAACTGTTTAGAAACATCCCAATCCCATAAAATTTCAGTATCGTACATACAGAAGAAATAAATTATTGGCGTTTGAAATAAATTACAAGCATAAAGAGGCCTTTCCCAGACCATTATGTACACCACCGAAACTTAAAGATACAAATAAATTACCTAATCTCCTTTTTAGTATCTTACATTGTTGGCTATAATACAATTCCTCGACCAAACCAAAATATTCAGCTAAAAATTTCCAATTTTTGAAATTTTAAACCTCGTTTGTTATGAAATACTAAGTATCCGCCCATTTTTATATGGCGGAATTATGAGATTTGATATTAATCATCTTGCTAATTATTTGTCCCATTTGGCCAATTTCTTCTCTACGGTTTCTTTCTCACAAAGCAAAAAAATGTTTTTTGGCACTCTGTCGTCCTAGTTGTACAGAGTTAAGTGCGAGTGTACCGCTAGTGTTGTGATTTCTACACGTTTAGAATTCCAGAGCGACACGTCTTGACTTCTAGCCCGTTTACAGGTTACATATGGTATCGAACCAAGTAACGCAAAAGTCTCGGCCAAACTTTCAGATATCTCGCGTGTACTCGCGAGAATTCGAAGAGGCAGTGTATGCAGATGTGGCACGTTTTGTGTTAACGTTATGGCTTGTTCAAAAGCTGGCTAATAAAGATTTTGGCAAGTTAGTGTCGCGGTATGACACAATAGGATGGCCACCAAGCAGATGTAGGGACCTGCATGTTTTACACATATTTTTGTGACATTTTCTAGTGGTGAGGGTTTCCTCTCCTCACCTTCTCCATGCAAGACACAAAAGATGCGGCAAAAAAAGATGATCCCTCTATCTACTTGGAGATTACATATAGCAGGCCCTGGGCTTGAATTCCACATGGTAAGGTCTCTAAATTTTCCTAGCAAAATCGACACTTCAATTCCAAAATGGTAAACTCACTGTTTTCTCCTTAAAAATGCTTATAAATCATCATGGCTTTAGCTTTCTAGAACGGCTTTTCTGGGGGTCAAATCGTTCAGAATTTCAAGATGGCTTCTTTCCTAAAAAAACTATGCTCCTACAAAACTTGCTGGTTGATCCTCATAACTCGATGCTTGCTTGCTCTACATCTTGATTTGGTCTGGTGTTTTAAAATTTCACTACTGTTGATCTAGAAGTTTTTCGATCCTTTCGGCCACGTCCGTCTGGTCGCTGGACTTGAGGGCGAGCATGAGGGATTCTGTGGACGCCATCTTGCCGCAGCGAGCCCTCCACAGCATCAGCATCTTCTGCGCCTGCGCGGGAATGTCGTCCGGGCAACGGGCTTGGATGGCGGCCATGTCCTCTGTGGAACGAAAAAATGTCAACACGATATACATTTGGAAAAGCAGTGTTTGGATGATGTAAAGAATCAATAGATTAAAAGTGAGGCGAATTAAAGACGCTATCTTCTTCAGAGCCCATCAAGCTTCAATGACAGGGACGGGGGCCGATATCGACTTCCTTGGCTTGTTTTACACGTGCTTTGCGGGATTTGTTACGTTTTTATACAGGGGATTCGAAGAGAGGAAAACTCAAAGATGTACAAAATCCCTTTAAAAAAAGGCGACCTACTCCTAACCATGATTAGGGGTAGTTCAGCAGTGTTCAGGAGGCCGTATTCGGCTAGTCTGGAGTCCACCCTTGTTAGCTTTGGTCCGCTCCCCAAGATCCGCTACCCCGCCAACAAGACCGGGCGCCGTTACCAGCCTTGTTGGCAGGGTAGCGGATCTTGAGGAGCGGACCAAAGCTAACAAGGCTGGACTCCAGGCTAATATTCGGCTGTGAAAGACGTGGGTAAGTGTGGAGCACCCTTACCGGCCGTGATGTGCGCGCCGTCCGGCCACGTCAGGCGGGTGGCCAGTCTCTTCCACTGCTTCCCGTCGTAGATCTCCTCCACCAGAGCCAAGGCCCGCTGGAGGGCTGCAGGGAAAACAACAATTCGAAGATCTTTAATATAAGAAGTGTGAAGAGTCGTTTTGAATTTCTTCTTTTATTAGTTATCATTAATTTCTCGCTGATTCTGTGTCTTCACTGTCATTTCCTCCCGGTCTGCGAGGAGACCTTTTTACGACCTTCCCGCCAGTCTGCGGTTACATCATTCCCCCTCACTTCCCGCCCCCCCCCCAGCGACTTTTGCCGTCACATACAAACATAGTGACGTCACAACACACAACTACACGACCTTCGAAAAGGTTCGAAATATTCGCCACTACGCCGCTGGGTGGCGCTGCGCAGTACAAGCGCGACTGTTGATTTTATTTAAGTCTCCACCAGACGAACAACGCCGGTTGAAACAGTCAAATTTAGCCAAACGATGGAGAGAAATCGGGGGAGTTTAGACACCGTAGAGTTCACATGTCTGCGCAAATCATGAAACTAATGGTGAATTTTACCATGCTAAGTCCCTTTCGTAATGCTAGTATGGCTTTACCAAAGTTTCCAAATGTTACATTTTTGTATTACATGCACGTTAAAGATCCCACCACACCTTTCGAAAAAGAGTAGGGGCATGCCCCGGTGTGCGATGGTACAAACACTACTGTATGGAGTTGGTGATTGCATCATCACCCGGACGGAGGCGTGGCGAACCCCGTCTTGTATTAAGCTAACGAAAGGGTATGCCACCTCGTAAGGGGCGGTATAACCCCGACCAATACGGTCGACCGATGATGATGATGATGATTACATGTATGTTGGCAAATTTCTCTGCAGTTAGTAATGTCGATGACATTGATCAGGCCATTTCCTTCTAACTCCATGATCAGACAGACGACATTTTAATAACGTTACAGCAAAATGTTGCCGAAGTGGCCTTGACCACAACGAGGTTTCCAAAACACGTCAGGACATGTCCACTCCTTCATGACTAGTATTGACTGCTGATTATTTATACTTCCATTCCTTCATAATGACACATACTCGAGCGGCCCTACCGGCTGTTTGGGCCCGTTACCAGGCAACCGTGTCAGGGGTCACAGTCACGTGTCATCCGCCATTATTTAGAACAAAAGTGCAAATGGCGACCGCAAAGCTGATAAACGGCCCGGCGCTGGGAGGGGACCTGTTCCGCCGACAGTTTTGCGTTATTAACGATTTCGCAGTCGTCGGGCTGCCAAATTAACCGCGTTCCGGAATTTGTAATTTTGGTTTCCCTAACGCTCAAAAGGCGCCAGTGAGAAGTTTGATGGCGGATTTTCTGGGCAGACATGACACAGAACTTATTTGCGGAACAATGACAGGACCTGCGACGTCTGTTCAACAGTTGTGGCGACAATGGCTGGCGCTGTGCCCATTTCATGACCTTATGAGTGGCTCCTACAATAATGATGGCCGGAGGACAAAAACTTGTAAACTATCTTAGACCAAGAAGGTTTTGTCTCTACTAGACTAGACCATAGACTGACGCCCAAACTAATTTTAACTGAAAAGTGCGTTTTACGCTTTGACAATGGCTGGATTACGTATTCACTTTGATTTTAGAAATTCTGATAGGCGCGAAGACTCAAGGTCATTAATAATAGTCGTCTAAAAAGCTTATTTCAATCAACTTGTGGTGATGTCTTCATTTTGGTATTTCTTCTCTGTCAGTTTTATTTGCAAGAAAGTGTATTCTAATGTGGCCTCTTTAGACAGAGACAAAAAAAATACTAGTATTAGACGTTCTAAGTTACATATACTAGCCACTAGCCTTTATCTGGCTCCATAAAAAATGGATGGAAATTGGCCAAAACAGACAGATAACATGGTCAGAGTGGCAAACTGCACTCCTTTAGCGCACCAACTCCCCTGGCATGCTAACTATTTGGCCAATTTCTACTCTTTCCAACCGCTCCTGACGTCTGGGACTCGAGAACAGTAAATGCCGTATACGGTGTCCGCATATGACCCACGATTATCCAGGTCCCTACAGTAAATGTCTCAGTGAACATTGAGAGAAACGGCGGACACCATGCCTTCTCCCCATATCTGACTCCAAACGCCGGATCGCGAGCTCAAAACAAACATAAGACACCGTGTAATGCTGATGATTGTTCTCCCAGTCCACTGGAGTCTTCTGCTCTATCCAGCGGATCATTACCTGGTCATTACGAGGAGACACGCCATTGTTCGGGGTTTCCTCATTTTAGACGATGATTTGGGAGGCGTTGGCCTTGCCAAAGGGCTTGTCGTTCCGTCATTGTGTCTGGATTTTCTCAAGCTTAACTGCCGTTGCGGTGCGGGCGTCAAGCCCAGGTTTGAATGGAAGCCGAGTGGCAGGAAAAAAACAACGATGTTCTCTCACAGCCTTCACTTAAGGGCCGATTTACACGGGGCAAAAATATCATTTGGCCTGCGTCAAACGACTGTGTCACATTCGTCGTGCGATTGGTTTACGACAGCAAATTGAGACAGTCTGGAGATACTAGCAGTTGTGGGTGTATTGTACAAACTTCAATTGTCTTGTAGGGGGAAATGATGTTGTTGCGTAGATTCTTACATACCGTCGGTTCTGTGATACGTAGCTTCGCCAAAAATCTTGTAAGACTCAATGTAACTTTGGAGCAGTAAAGCATATATACTGCAAATATGGTGGCCATTACAGCCTGCAGTACTTTAAATAAAATAAAATCAAACATGTGCTGCGGGGGATGTCACAGGACAGTTTGAGACATAAAGAAGTGCTTCGAATGTCAAAAGAGTGACTTACACATATTTGGGTCCGCTTGGGTGGACATACCGTGCGTTTTTATTCAAGGCAAGTCTGGCACACCCTTCGAATAAGTTCACTCGATCAACTCATTGTCTACAGAACATCGCTAGTTTCGCTACCATCATTAAAGGGTACCCGATGCGGGCTGGCACAAAGTTTTGTCTTTAAAATGAAAGACAAACAACAATAGCACGGATGGGCAAGAAACATCTAGGCATGGAATATATGCCACGCAACATTAGTTACATGACTTGCTTTTTTTACGCGGAGGTGCATTTGATTAACAGTGTGACAGTGTGATAGTGGGATGCTGTTGCCATAGTAACACTGGTGTTTGTTTTTGTTTTTTCTCATGACAGGACATCAGCTGTGCAGTCACCCCTCATTAGGGCAAACTGCTCAACGTACAGGGGACAATTGCAAGTTCCTTCCAGAGGGCTAATTGCAACATGTTGTATAGAAAGAGCATAGAGACAGTGCAAGTGCAAGTGCAGTGCATGTTAAGAAATACTAAAAAAATACAATCTAAGGTTTGGTTTTTGGTTGGACTTCTTTTTTGGAAGCAGTGGAAGATTAAGTGCCCCACTCTTTCTGCAGTGAGTGGGTGTTGGGAGGTTAACAGGGATGTGGTTTTCTTTTCGTCAGTAAACGTTTGGAAATTGAGGTGAGTTTGGGCGGTGATAACGACTCCCTTCATCCATTCTGACGCAAACAGGACACGCCAAGGTTTATCAGTACAAACATGACGTGCCTGGAATACAACATGGTCCAATCCTGCGAGCTTCTCAACTTTGGAACAGAAACAACCCACGCGGATTTTACGATTTGTAAATAAAACATCACAGGATACGTCCTGAATCGAATCGCGTAAATATGTCGTTTCCCTGAACTTTTCCTCAACAATACTGGCACTGAGAACGAAAGGGGGGATAGTGGCAATTTTACGACCTCTCGCAATTTATCGCGAGTTTTTACGGTTTGTCAATATGTGCCTTCCGCCCAGGAATGCTTTAGACCTTGGCGGAATGATGACAGGGGGCAAAAGGACGGCAACAAAATTTTACTGGTCTTCGTTTACGAACTTTGTCCTACAAAAATGTCTGCAAGTTACAGTTGGTTAAGGCTTGCACGGTGTGCCCACACTTTAAAAAGTTCATAAAAAACCAAATTAACAGTTGTTATCTGTCTCTTTTGTGGCGGAAGTGCATCAAAACACAGTTTGGGAGGCGCTGTGAAAGAGGAGAGAACATCCCGTCTTTTTACGAGGTTGAACTTTCCGCAACCCTTTTCTTGACACGGTGGTAGCTTACTTTTGTGTAAGCCTGTTCGCTCTTTTTGAACAGTTACAAGTTTTCAGAGTATAGGATAAAAATAGAATGCCGCAAAAACTCGGAAAACTGTAAAAAAAAAAACCAACAAATTCCTTCATAGCCTCTACCAGGCTTCAGAGGCAGCTAGAAAGAGAAGAAATTAGCTAAATAGGCAGATAACATGCCAGGGCAGTGGGTCCGCTAAAGGAGTACAGTTAGTATTAGTATTTTGCAGTCTACTTTTTGAATCCTGATAGAGGCTACTTCATTCAGTGATGAAAAAACACAAAACTTCCGAGAAAAAAATGTGATTCACTTTTAGATAATAGTGTCTACTGCCTTTCTGTAAATTTGAAATTGTGAGATTTCTATGTCAGCTCCTGGCAGCTCGATGCCACTTTATTCGAACACGGTGACGTCATGATGACGTAGTTGTACCTGCTGCCCTGATGAGGTGAAAAGAGTCCTTGTGCCGTCCTGCACACAACAACGTGACGGGTTTGTGTGACCTTGGTGACCCCGCCTTCCAGCAAGAATAACCAGAGACCAGAACTGGGAGGACAGCCATTGACAGGAACGCGACATGTTTTCATTGAGATATTTCTCCTCTGACCCTCAGAACACACACGCGGAGAGCGAGTGAGGACTTTATTTGCCTTGTAGTAAATCAACGACACATACAAAACCTTCCTTGTACCAACTTAGGACAGTGTCCTTGGATGCACTAGTTTCCATGTTTAACCTTCTCTCTGCGGCCCAACTTAGTAACCAATACAAATTTGGTGCATAACAGCTTCCTTATTAGGGAGGTTAAAACAGCAATGACAATGCAATTTTAGGGCGGCAAAACAATTTGTGGATGAGGAAATCTGTTTGATTAGAAATAGCCCCAAAGCAAGGCTACGTGAGGCGTACTTTTA